TAAAAGCTAAGTATCAGAAGTCTTATTTACTTGTGCTAAATAAAAACATTTATGAGCACCAGCTGAATTGTCTCAGCGAGAGCTTTTTCACCATCCTGCTTTCTTGAAACAAACACTAGGATTCAGCTCAAAACCCTGATATCCCTGTTTTGAAATGCTAGACTGGTGAAAGCATTTTATATAAGCCCTGAGTCAGGTTGTCTGTAGTCACCGATTTTGTTAACAAACCTGGTTGCTGTCTGCAGCAGGCATGAACAAGTCAGCAGTGCAAAAGTACAGGAGATACCTGAAACATGAGAGATTTGTAATAATGACTAAGCTAGTTGCTATGGGTCATAAAAGTCAGATAGGAACATCTAGGAAGAAGAGAACAGCTGATTTTTTAGTCTTACCTTTTTTTTTATTCTGATTGCAAGTGATTTACATTAATATTACAACTTTCAATCAAACAGAATTCAAAGAAACTACAAACCTTTCCTACTTGATTGTATGACTGGCAGAAAATTGTTGAATTAATCATGCAAGAGTAGCTGTAAAAGCTGTGAAAAATGGTAGTATATGGTACCTTAGGACAGCGAGTAAAGAACACCTATTACAGTTGAAACTGCAGGGGTGATGCTGGGATACAGAACTAAATTAACCTAGTTGGAGTTGGGCCGGGACTTTGGGATTCACACCTTAGACTCTGCATGGGACTTTTAATTATTGCAAGTGGTTAGACAAATTTTCTCATCCAAGAAACAGAATGTGCAATAGATCCATTCCCCTTCTTCATCTCACAGCCAGGGAGGCTGATTGCTTATTTACCAAGGGAAAACAAGTGGGTCCCTGTAATTTGCTTAATAACATTTTTTTTCCCAGAGATCTTCCATGCTACAGTGCCTATTCTTGCCCTACTTACTTTCCTTACTGTTGGTGGTTTTTTTTTTTTTGGTTATTGTGATTATAATATCTCCTGAGCCTTCATTTTTTAACAAAACCTGTGTTCTACCGATGCAAGTCAACTGTGTCACTCAGGACACAGGGAAAAAAATCAGGATTGTTAAGTTTTTAGCCTGTATTTCACTGCAGGATCGGTTTTGATCTTTAGCAGTGTATTTTATTTCTTATTGGGGGCTTCATCAGTTGCTGCTACTGGACAACAAAAAAAAGCCTCCCCAAAACACTTCCTCAGAAACAGGTTCAAGGTGGGAGTAAAACTGGGAGGAATACAGGTGGTAAGTGAAACCATAGGGCTGTAATGATAACATTTAGACTGCTAAGCAAACTCATTTTTTCCACTGCTTATAAGTCACTGAAGTATACCAACTGAAAATGAAATTTCCCAGGTTTGCCCAAAGGTGAAGTAGGTATTTTTTCCAGATTTTTTCACACTAAGTAAAACTGGTTCAGCCATTTTTTATTATCTTTTCTTTCCACAACAGAACATGTAGAAACTATTCCCACTTCAGCAAGAGTGTTTGCTATTGTGTTCTGAACAGCACAACAGCCAAACCAACACGGGGTTAAAAAGTTTATATTTAGCATAAAAACATCTAGCTGAAAAATGCCTTTGAGTGCTTCAGTGGAATCTGATTTTGATCTGACCGAATTTTGACCCGCAGAAAATTCCACACTTAAGCACAATCCATTCTGTATGGGTGTATTCACTGGGCTCAGAGCACGCACGGAGGAGGAAGGCAAGGTTGATGTGTACGTGTGAGGAGCTTGTGTCCTTATCCCAGCACTGTGTCTGCAGGGGCTTCAGTTACACCCCACGAGGGCAGCGCTGAGGTGCTTCTTACACATCGGTGACTGTGTGCACTTAGTGCTTGCAGTCTTAGGGCCCTTTTGTGTCTCGAGGAATAAACTAAATGTCCAGTGAGGTTAAAGGGGGTTTCCAACCATTCTGGATTGGTCCAATGTCCTCTGCCCCATTGGCCAAGGTCAGAATCAGGTCTGGTGAGGGTAACCAGCATCAGACACAGCCCAGTCATCAGTGGGTAGGTCCATGGTGATGAGGCAGGTCCAAGGTCAAGCTGGGGAGTCAGTCTTCAGGGTCCAAATCAAGTGGGTTTGTGGCCACATAATGGGGAAAGCTGTGGCAGGGCTGGAGACCAGTGTTCCTACAGTGTGGCTGGGGCAGGGATTGATGGCTCTGGGCTCAGCTGAAAAGGGGCAGCTGTGCAGGGGATATTTGTGAGACTCCCAGGTGAGACTGGTCAGGCTTTAGGTGACAAGGCTTTTCATAGAGCCTGGGGAATCTTTGTGTATGCAGATATTCAAGAGTTGCCTGGAGAAGGCCCATCTGTCTTTGAAAATGGCCCTGCTTTGAGCAGGCAGTTGGAATAGACACCTCCAGCCTTCCTCCCAGCCTAGATTATTCTGTGATTCTACAAACCCTACTGGTTTTACTTCTGTATTAGCAGTGCATGCAGGATGTGCTGTCACTGTGAATGTGACACTCAGGCTCTAAACTGTGTGTGACAGAAAACCAGACAGATAGTGTGCACCCACCAGAGGTGATGTACTCCTTACAGGGCAACGGGACCGAAGGCTGCAAGCTCTTGCTCACACACTTCATGTTCTGCCATGAGCAGCCAGCAAAGGTCCTCAGAAAAACAAAGCTAAGCATATGTGTGAGCGTTTAGAGGACCATCATGTCAGGGAATATTTGCTGGCATTTAGAGACCATTCATGCTCCAAGGGGAGTCAACTAGCTCTCTAGCCTACTGCCTCGGGCCCTGATCTGCCCTGAAGAAGGTCTGCATAGCACACTGTGCACTGAGGCCTTGACTCAGCAGAGCAATTTGGGATGTGTGTCTTGCTGAATCAGAGCTTATGTGTCTCACAGAAATTGCTTTATAGGGCACAGTCCAGTTCCCACTGAAATACTTGCGAGGATTTCGGCACACACTTCAATGAAAACGTGATCAAATCTATGTCACCTGGTCATCCCTTGAGCTGAGGATAAAAATTGCTGCGCTGCTGGTTAAAATGAGAATGTATAGAACAGGGGCTGCCAATGCAATGAGAGCTGTAAGGGAAAAGTCTTTTGTAAAGGTTTCCTGCAATGTGGATGGACGTGGAACAGAAGTAGTTAAAAATGGCTACATACTTTAGGAGTTTATCTTTAGGTGTAGAAAAAAGTGTAGTATCAGGAATAGAATAGTGAAAACTTTTATAAGGTGTACAACCTAAAAGCATAGTTTTATGCCTCATTGTAATGGTGGTATTTCCTGATCGATGAGTATGGAAAGACATAATTTTAATATGCTTTGTCAAAGTTGGTTATATAGCATTTATGTAAGAGACTGGCTTCTTCTGGGAATATATTTTTTAAATCTAACTGGTGACTACATGCACATGTATAAAAGAAGAAGCTTTCTACCTTGAAACCTTTCATCTTTCATAATTCTGAAGTTGTGGTACTGTCTTTGCTTCATCAGATGTGGAGCCCTCAGAAAATGTGGGAATATTTCTAAATTTGATTGTTAAATCTATTGAACAGAAGAGCTGCCACTGGAGAGAATATACTTCCTAAAGTACTAGTAAGTGTGCAGAAGTGCTCTGAAGCTCAGGAGGCAAAGTCTGTTTACAGTTAGAAGACTTGGGCTCTTAAGTGCTTGCACTTTTGAAAATAAGACTTAAATGCTTCTAGGTAATTTGGGCACTACAGAAAATCATATCTGATTTTCCTCTTTTTGCTCTGACATCAACATCAATCATAAAATGATTTATTATATAGATAATAGCAGAACTAGTTGTATGTGGAGCAAATCCAAGAGAAATAAATATGATTCAGATGTGAGTTGAATAATTTAATGGTGTTTAAATATGGGAGGCAGTACATATCCTTGATTTCAGTGGAATTAAATGCATTGGTTCTGTAGAAATTATTTCCAAACTAGATGTTGCTCTCAGCTAAATAGTCATTCCTTGGAAACCAATGTGTCTGATGGACATGGTGCAGTGGAAGCCAGAGTCCATGCAGGGTTGCACACTCTTGGAAATCATAAATTATTCCTCTGTAGCCACTGGAAGGAGGCTAATGTAATGATGAACAAACACACTAATGGTTGAAACAGTCTCCCAGAATACCAAACCCTTGTTTGAAATCAGATGATTTTGGAATATACTTGGCAAGAAGGGTTAACTATAGATTTCCTCAGCACTTCAATGGATCAGACATATGCTAATCCCATCCTGCCTGGAGCAAGATGTCATCTCTCTTAGAGTGCACTGTTGTCAGGCCCTGGTTTCACACAATTGCTGCTGTGGCTGACAGGAGAAAAGAGTGTTTTCCTTTCTCCACAAGATCTCAGTGGCACAGCAATTTGTGGGTCATAAAGAGAAGGCTTCTTTCATGGAAGCTCTGCAGGCTGCTATGCCTGTATTGCAGACATACTTTAGAGAGTCAGGATTTAAGGGCTGGCTGGCTCTTAAGTGCTTAAGTGCTGGTTGGCTCTTAAGTGCTGGCTCTTTATACTCTCAGCTCTCCAAGAGTTCCTCTGGAAACTCTGCAACATTCCTCTGCCCATCTTCCACATACCTTTAGAAACTCCAAGGGAAAACAGGGTCCTTGGGGTCCTGGCTCAGTGCCAGGTGGGACTTGAGATGTGCAGAGAGAGGCTGATCAATAGGCAGGAAGGGCACAGGAGTGATTGCCAGCTGCTAGCTGCTCCAGAGGGCAGGAGAGGTGTCCATAGGCCATGAGACCCTCCTTGGTTCCCCACCTCCTCCAGCTGCAGCACCTGTAGCAGAGGCAGCCAGGCAGCTCCAGGAGTCACGGAACTGGTCCATACAGGGGTGCCTGCTCTTAGGAAGAGAGGGATCAGAGCTTTGGCTGCATCAACCCACAGTCCTGATCCATCACTGAGAGAGACCCCTCACAGCCTAGGCTTCCCAGACATTTAAAATGCAGCTCGGAGAATGAGTATAGTGAAGAATAATAAACATGATCATAAATCAAATATAATAAAAACAAATAAAAAAAGCGAAACGTTGCATTTCTTTCACAGTGACGATCCCAGCGGTTCCACAAGCAAGAAAGCCGGGTGTGAAACGGAGGATCCGAAGGAGGCCGGCAGACAGAGTGGCCAGGAAGGCAGGTCCGACACCCTGACGCTAAAAGCCCAGCATGCGGAGCTCCACGAAGAGCAGGCAGCGGGGTGTTCCCCTCTGGTGCAGAAGGCGAGCCTCCACCACACGGGCTCCCCAGTGAGAGTGCAGCGCAGCAAAGGGGCGGCCTCGTGTTCCCATGCGGCTGCCTCCGATTATGAGCTCTCCCTTGACCTAAAGAATAAACAGGTACCAAGGCTTCCTCCTCAGGCTGTGGGAGAAGGGGATGGGGCGGGTGGGACTGCATTCACACTGTGGTGGGACGTCTTTCAGCAAATACCTCAGCCTTTTGTTCGCCTTGAGCTTTTGCCCTGCCTGAGCTGGCCCTTTGGCTACGTGGGGCTGATGGAGGAAGTAGCTTCCCCACCTCTGACTGCATCACCCTTTCACCCAAACCTGCTGGTCTCTGGTCCTCATTGCCTGGGTTCTGTGGTCCAAAGTGGACCTAGAAACCCAGTTGTGAGTGTAGGCTTAGAGACGGGTTGCAGGCAGAAGAGAGCTGCAGCATCCAGAGATACTGCCTTGCTCACAAGTGTGCAGTGCCTGTAGGGTTCTAGCAACTGGTTGTCTCAAATGATGTCCCTCATGGGAGAGATCTCCAAGAACCATCTTGCCATCTTGGATCATGCAGGGTAGGTCCCCAGTGCACTTCTGCATTAGCATGAGGGTTTCATTCAATGACTGTCCTACACAGCATCTACCACGCTGTTTGTGTATTGCTGCCATGACTGCCTTCAATGCAGCAGTGGATGTTGAAAAGACAGGCAGGTTAACCAGGCTGAGAGGAAATTATTCAGTTCCAGAAGTTGCAAGCCTTGCCTTCTGTGCCTTAGGCTACAGCCTAGCTCCAGAGCACAAGCGTGCCCATCTCTAGCTGCATCTCCTGATGGACTCCGAGCAGGGGACAGTGGGACAGGGGCTAATAGCAGCTGGGCTCCTCCTTCAAAGGTAATGAGGTGGAACATGCTCCCCCCCTCCGCGTCTCTGCAGATTACAGTCCAGGAGAGCTGTTGTGCAAAACAGAACCTAAATAATAGTTTCTGTCTTTTCCCTGGTATGGCAGCTCAACCAGAGGCTGTTGGACATGCAGACCCTGCAGTATGCGAGGTGAGGATGACAAGCAAACACTAGTGACAGTGTCCAGATTACGTTCAGTGGGAGAATTCAGTGGGAGGTATGCCACTGCAGCTGAAGGGTATCAGCTAATGAGGTTTCCACAGAAAAATTGCTACTTCTAGGACATCTCTTTGCCACTTCTCTTAAGGCATTGCTGCTGTCCCTAAACATACATGTCAGATCAATGGCTCAATAAATTTCTGAGCAAAAGAGAGATCTTGGCTCTTTAGCTCTGTCTTTCTCGAAATACTGTGTACTCAACTCAGAAATAATTCTTGCTTCACACCAGGAAAAAAAACAACAGACACTAATTAACTGGCTTAACAAACTGATGTGATGTATCCTCGGGGTGGGCCAGATCTTGACTGCTATATAAGGGCTTAGCCTCCTCGATGTCCTAGAGCTGCTCTGGTTTGTCCTGGGGCATCTGTCCTGTGTTATTTTAGCTTTAAGGTCACGTTGCCCTATCATTGTTCTTGCAGCAGAGGCCAAACCTGCCCTGGATGCATGTGTGAGAGAGAGACATGTTAGCTGATTGTTCATTAATTTCTGGTGCCTTGCAGGACTGACCTTGCACGGACCTAGCCTATCTTGTAGGTGAAACCACTTTTCCCACAGCAAAGGGGGCTTACAGTATGTGTGCCTCTCCAGCCTGATGGTTTTCCTCAGTGAATTGCCTCCAGCTCTGGAAGGGGAGATTTTCAGGCAGTGAAGAGTATTAATTCTTCAATTCTTGCACTCTAGTATGTGTTTTTATAGGTATTCCTATCAATTTATTTGTCAGGTAGTTCTGTTAAATGGGAATAAGAGTGATAGGACCCTCATAGCACTGTCCCAGTAGAATCCTCGTCATAGCTCGAATTGTAAAACATTAACAGAACTTACGATAAGGAAAATAGGTGAAAGGAGACATTTTTAGTTTCAAAGCACAGTTGAAGTTACATTTACTTTTTGGGAGAGGACTGAGTGTTAGTTAGGAGGGTAGGAGGGTAGAGTACAGCCTCCTCTGCAAGGCTTGGACCAGTCATTGCCCCTCAGCATCATACTGCTGGGTTGGTGAGTGGCTTCATGGCTCTCCTTACTTTCTATCCCATGAAACAGAGATTGCTGACAGTGCACAGAGCAGAAGTACACTACGCTGGGAGGTTGGAATGGAGACTAAAGTGCTAGAGTTCCCCTATGCTTGGACTATATTGAATGTTGGGAAAATGGAGGGTATCAGGAGAGAGGAGCATGCTTTCTGTCATACACAGTCTTGGGTTGTGCTGAAGGGTGGCAGATGTCCCAGGCATGAAGGAAAATATCCCATTAACACATGGCCCTTATAGCAATGTTCTTCATTGTGAAAGGCTGGAGGGAGGGAGAAGCATTAAGAAAGGATGATAGAGAACATGTATGTTCTGTATGTCTTTTTTTTTTTAATTTTTTTTTGCAATGCATGCGTTGCCTCAGATTCTGTCCCTGAGCCTGACTCTCTTCTTACTAACATGGTGGCACATCGCCATGCTAAGTGGCAACCTTGGTGGAAAACCAGTGCTAACTGAGAATAAGATCAGGCCCATTTTCTCCTGGCAGATTTATGAATTTATGCCTATGGGCAACAAAGCCAAGGGGTGTGCACCTCAAATGTTTGGCCATATCCAGGCCTGGCACTTCATCTTGCCTTAGGCTGACCTTGTTAAAGCTCCCTTCATGTACAATCCCTCACAGCAATGGATATTTCCCAGCCACTTCTAATTCAGCCACAAGGCCTGAATTGCTCAGAATGAGTGTTCATTTTGAGGCCCAGAAATGTGTTAAGCTAATTATTCTTTGAAATCCACCCCGATCCCTCTCCTGCCTTTCCCTTCCTTTGGCGATCCCTCTCCTGCCTTTCCCTTCCTTTGGCGCTGGCTGTCGGATCATTCCCCAGAGAAGAGTAGCTTTAAGTAGGCAATTACTTGAGATTCGTAGGGTTTATTAGGAGTGAGAGAAGGCCAATCATGTCTGGCCTTTCTCACCTCTCAGAAGGTTCCTCTGGCCAGCCAGACATACATCTCCATTATCTATGACTGCTGTGGTGCTAATGGATGTCCTTTCCTCCTCTCGAGAGGAGGAACACAGGCCACAGCTGTGTGAAATCCTTAATTCCTTTGGACTGCCAGTTAGCTCGACCTGATAGCAAATGTGTACATCTCAGGCATCAGTAAACAGTAAATGGCTGGACTACATCAAGGAGACAGAGAGAGAGACCTGCTCCTATAAAGCAAGAGTGGGGAGCACACTTCTCTGTGGGGGTGCTGCATCTGGCTTTGCCAGTCTTTTCAGGCATCCTTTGATACAGTCCCTGTCCCTGTTATCCCAGCTGCAGGATATTGTAGGATTCCCCTCGCTTTTAACAGGGCCAGATGGCAGTGGACCACATGCAGAATCCATCCTTACACCCCTGGAATGAGCTGGAAAACAGACTAGTTTGGGAGTCCTCTCATTTTAGATCTTGTTCTGCTTCTTAATGCTTTAGCCCTTTTGGAGGACTGAGATTATGGACTGCAAAAAGCTGCTGATGTTTTTTATCAAGGTACTGATAGCTTGCACTGTTCCTTTAGACTTTCAGAAGGATGTCTTCTCAGTAGTTATTAAAGTCTGTCTTTTGGGGAACTGTCCTTGCGTGAGATAAACTGGCCTTTTACTTCAGATCAGCAATGACATCTTGTCTTGGCCTCTAATAAGATCAGAGCATATGAATATCATGTTTTCAGAATGGCTGTCACCTCCTTGGAAACCTCAGATAATTGTAAGGCTCTCGCTTCTGCTTTATTTTGCATTTTACTATTATTCTGTCCCTCAGATAGCTGTGCCTGCCCCTCCCATTTGTTCCTCTTTCCCTCCCAACACAATTAGCTCTACATTTTCATTAACAAGATCATTATAGGAAATGCTCACGGTCAGTTGTCAGTACTAACTGTCTGGGTTGGGCCTTTGCAGGTTACTGGTTTAATTTGCATTTATCTGCATGAGCCTTCCTCCTGAAGGGAAGGGCCAAGGGATGGCTCAATCTCTTTCCAGGCAGACCAACTTTAAGAATATGTGGCAGGAGACAAAGATATGCGGCTGGTTTTGTGGTGGGCCTTGAGATGGTCATTTTGAAAAGCAAGACAAAGAACCCCAGCAAAACACTTCTGCTTACTACCCAGAATCTCTTTTTGTCCCTGTATTCCTCTTTCCTGTCATAACAAACACTGAGGATAAGGAGAGTCCTTGGTTATCCATAAAGCTTGAGGGCAAGGCAAACAGAAAACAGAATCCTACCTTATGTTTGAGCAGAAGGCAAAGATTCCCTACTTCATGTCCAGAGTGGGAAATATGAAAGGATGTGCTCCCCTCCCTGCTCCTTTCCATAAATGGCAGCCTCACATCCAGTGCAGCAGGATCCCTAGACCTGTTGCTGCAGCCAGGGTCATGTTCCTCTCTTCCTGACTTCTCCCAAGGTCATATTAACTTCCCCTACTTCCAGAGGAGTTGGTATTGGAAAGATTCCAGGGGTGATTTACACTTCTCACATCTGTCAGACCAGGCCTTCGCTTTTACCTGGATCACTCCCTGTAAATTACGTAATGTTACAAAAAAGGAAGAAGAAGAAAGCAGACAATATGACATGACTCTGTGAGCTGAGGCTCATGCCTCAGTCTCCCTTTGACTACAAAATCAATTTGCACTTAAACTCAGATCTTGTGTGAGCTCAGTCCTTCATCCTGTGTGTACTGAGCCAACAAGGCATGCTGAGGGGCAAGTGGTATCTGGCTGGGGATGAGGATGCAGTCAGTAAACTCATCCTTCAGTTCTGCTAATGAGTTCATACTCCCCACATGAATGATGCAGTGAATCCTCTCTTAATTCAGGCCTGACTTAACCAGCACTTCACCTTTTTTTGGCTTTTCCACATGTGCACACACATACAAACACTACGGTCTGCACCTGCCCTTTGCCTTGTGAAGTGCCGGCAATGTAGAGTTTAGCTCATAGTACAGCCAAAACATCAGTGAGTGCAGTTGGAGTTCATCCTTCTTTTTCTTCAATCCCATCTTCCATGATCATCTTCACACTGTCCCTCCTTGTCCTCTGTCAGTCACTCACTGCAACCACATCATCTAACATTCTCCTGTAGCACATTAGTGAAAGCCCAGTGAGGGGATTACCAGAAAGTATATGTTCAGGACTACAGCAAAGAAGTGGCCACACATACCTGCTTTGCTGAAGCCAGTTGAGATGGCACTTCAGCTGTGTGTATGTATTTATGTATTTACATGTGGATTTGTTGTTGTCAGCTCAGGTAAACCCTCCTGCTTGTTCTTAATATCTTGTCTCAACATTTAAAATTCGGATTTTTTTACCTTTCAAAACTGGCTGATACCTGAAAAACTCAGATATCAGAAGAAAATGCACTTTGGGATTCAGAGTGCTTTTTAAAAGACACAACTCAGAACAAGCCCAGCCTCCACTAACTTATATGGAAGCTGTTGTTTCTCACTAGCTGCTATGATCAAGCCACCATTTTCTGCATTTAAAAATTAAATTTTCTTCCCTTTTTCTGAATGATTTATCTTTTCCCTGGGAGTATTTCCTAAGGTGACTAAGGAGGGGAGAAGCATTAATAGCATTCTGAGACAAGAGATAATGCTTGACATTAACAGAGCAGTGCTGAGCAGGAAAGTAGGAACACGCATTGCTGGAATATGGTATTTGCAGAGATGAGCTTGCCCTAAAGGCCATGAAAAGTGGATCTGCAAGGGAAGGGCACTTGCAGGCTCCAGCTTGTGTGACTGGCACTCTGGAAAGAGATACAATCATGTTACAGCTGTGAGGAGGTTCCTGGTGCTGGTGTTTTAGCCATCCATGCCCAAAGGGGAACTTTCTGTTGAAATCATGGGCATGGCATTGCCTTGAAAGCAATTCAGATAATTCAGTGTTAGAAGTTCCTTTGACAGTCATTAACCCTAATCAGTATAGGAACAGGGGTAACAAAAAGCCACCAAGAAGTCAATTAACAAAAAATGCCATCTCGTTTCTGTGTCTTTCAGATCGAAATGCTAGAGCACAAATACGGCGGTCACCTGGTGTCTCGCAGGGCAGCTTGCACCATCCAAACCGCCTTCCGGCAGTACCAGCTCAGCAAGAACTTTGAGAAGATCCGCAACTCGCTGCTGGAGAGCCGCATGCCGCGCCGCATCTCCCTGAGGAAAGTCCGCGTCCAGAACTCGGAGAGCTTCTCCGCGGAGAAAGCCCTGGTGGAGGGATACAACTTCGTCGGCATCCCATTGGTGAGGTCCCCGTCCTTGCCCGCCACCATCAGTGGGGCCCTGACTGAGCTGGAGGACTCCTTCACGGAACAAGTTCAGTCCCTGGCCAAGTCTATTGATGATGCCCTCAGCAACTGGAGCCTGAAGACCATGTGCTCCCTGCAAGATGGGGGCTCATACCAGATAAGGGAGACCTTCAGTGCTAGCTCAATGCAGCCAAACCAAGACTTAGAAGCTGAGTTGCAGGACAAGGAGAAGGAGGAAGGTCTCCTGCCAGATACTCTACCCAAAAGCAGCAGCACTCTCATGATGGCTTTTCGAGATGTCACAGTCCAGATTGACAACAAGAACATCTCTGTCTCGTCATCTACCTCGGTGTCCATGGCAAACTGCCTCAGCAGCAATGACCAGGCTGGGCTCTCTCAAGCTATCAAAGCTGAAGAAAGCCCAGGAGAAGGGGAGGGAGAAGCCAGTGAGCCACCAGCTGCCCCAGAGAGCTTACCTGAGTCCAGAGCTCTCCAGAACAGCCACACTTTCACCGAGGTGGATGTCAGTACTAATGGCACGGGAGACAGCAGTGCTGAGACTGATCAGATGGCAGTGCAGAAGCTCCAATTTGATGCTGGCAATGAGGCGGGGCAAAGCAAAGGCTCTGAGTCTGAAAATGCAGATAACTCAGAGCAGCTGAGCAGCAGCAGCACCTCCACTTCAGCCAAGTCAGCCTCTGAGGTGTCCTCGAAAGAAGCACTGCAGGCCATGATCCTCAGCCTCCCCAGGTACCACTGCGAGAACCCTGCGAGCTGCAAGTCCCCCACGCTCTCCACAGACACCATGAGGAAGCGCCTCTACCGCATTGGACTGAACCTCTTCAATATGTAAGTGACTCTTCGTCTGTCGTGTTTCCCAGCCTATTTCAGGCCTCACAGGAGCAGGTGATGGCAGACTCTTGGTCTAGATCCATCTCTGGGGAAGTTCTTTCATATTCAAGGGCATGGCCATCTGGGTATGCAATGAAGGACACAGATTGGCTGCCCAGAAATTTCCTCCCTGTACTCTCACAAGTGCTTTCCTGATCTTCTGTCTAATAGAGGAACAAGCCCACTGCTCCATGACTAGTGCCCATGCTCTCAGAATTTACTGTACCTTCAGTCCCAGTTGCCATTCATTTGGCATCCACCAGCTGAGCCTGGGATCTAGGCTCGTGCTCCGCTATGTGGAAAGGAACAAACATAGCTGGCATGGTAAACCCAGCCCTGGTTCCTTAACATGGGGCAATTACAAATAAAGGGAGAGAGAAATAGAGCTGAGCTTAGCTAGCCCAGCGTGAGTCATGATGACAAAATTACATCTCTGGCTGTCATTTACCTTCAGATGTCTGGGTAGATTTTCACCTTACAGACCAGGTTTAGTCATCTCAGTCTCTTACACACTGGAGTTCGATATCCTGTGAGAAGGCTGTAGGTGTGAAAGCAAAAGCAGAGCAGCCCAGAGGTTACCACAAGAAGAGGTTAACTCATGGGGTCACATGTAGCCTATTGTGGATTGGCAGAAAGAAGCTGAGTTCCTATAAGGACCTTTAGATTTACTTGTTGCTTTTAGATGAGACTTTTCTCATCTAAGAAAGCCATGAGAAATACTGGGTTTTGCTTCATCATCACACTCTTATCTTATGCTGTCTTGGTCTCCATTTGAGTCACCTAATGGCGAGGATGTAATGTACCCATACTAAAAGAATGTTTTACCACCCATTAGCATGGGCCTTTTGGACAGAGTGGGGACTGATGATTATGCAGTCCTAGGCAGAAGTTTTGCACAGATGAAGGGGCAATGCACAGCATTTATATACATGTAGTATGAAGGCTGCGAAGTCCATGAGGCAGGAACCAAGAGAGATTTTTAGGGCTGGGTTCAGAGCCCATCCAGAACTGAAGTAATGTTAGATCAGACAGATCTGGGACTCTTACAGAACTGAGGATGATGTATTACTAGTTATGAGATCAGATTCGAGGACAGGAGTGAGGAAACTGACCTGTTAGCTCTGGGGAGTGCAGGTTTTTTTATTCTCTGATCGGTATCTGAGTGGACACGTGGCTCCCCTTGTGACACCATAGTTCACCTCCACCCAAGGGGCTGGGAAGGCTGTTGGGCTCTCTGCAGACATTTGGTTGTTGATTTCCCTGTCAGTGTCTAGGAAGGAGCCAGTTTACCCTTGTGGAGTTTGCAATGTGGGCACTGACCCACGGGGCATGGAGCTGAGGTTGTGTGTGTGCACATCCTGTACCAGCAGCTGGAAGCCTGCAGTTGCCAGCAGCATAGTCTATCTGGCCTTGCGCTGCGTTTTTGGGAAGCAGCACTCTGGCTTGGAGCAGCCCCTGGGAACACATCGATGCTGTGCTGCAGTGGCACTTTCCCCATCCCCACTGCACAGTGAGGGGGTGAAATCCCCGGAACGGAGAGTGTTTCATTCTGCAGCACTGCTGTAAAAGCTCAGTGTGTGTGGGCAGCTGGCTGCGTGGGCAGAGGGAAAGCCAGCAGGACGTGAGGAATCCCGCAGCATTTGCTGGCTGTGCTTAACACCCCTGCAACAGTAAAAAGAATAGCAGAGACCAGGCTCAGGAGAGATGGAAGTGGAGTTGTTTGCTACACATCTGGGTAAAAGCTGCATGCTGCAGTACATGGGATACATCTGCAGGTGTTCAGTGGCTGAGATGTTGTACTGCTATCAGGATTTTGTGAGGAACAAATTGAATCCCAGGAAGAAGTGATGAAAGGCTGCTGTTACTGAAAGAGTAGTGTGTGCAAGTGTATCCAAGTTATAGTCTAGGCAGTGCAGGGGGACTGTCATAGCTGGACTGTTTTATTCTGCATCCTCTGCGTTGTATGTGCCATCTCTACTGAAATCTGCACATCCATACCAGTACATGAGCTACATTTTTTTAGACATATTCAGCTCCCAGCTCCTATGGAGTAAATCCAAAGTCAGTCTAGTGGCTTTGGAGTCGCACTGGTGTAGCTGAGTTCATCCTCATTTGTGAACACTGTATTGTCCCTTGCCAAATACCAAAGTGTGCAGGTGGATGTGCATTTTATGAATCCCTGTTGCTTAGCTTGACTCTTGTCCTGACCATATCACCTCTGCACTTAGCAGGGAACTTTACCTGTGCTCTTCAAAGGTGAACCAGGAGGTCTGTGTGATAATGAAGAAGCTGTACTGTTGCTTTTCTGTGAAGAAGGCCTGGGTTTTTTGGTATCAGATCTTGCAGCTCTCCCATTCATACATTTAGTGGGTTGATTGTTCTCACAGCCACTCTCCCCAGGGATGCCACACTGCCCAGGATATTTTCTTTTGACATGACACAGTAAGCAGAACTATTTCAAGCTCATCCACTTTTTGTCTGCCCATGAGGCTTCTGCAAGGAGCAGGCCATTCTGCTGAATGCTGTTCCCCTTATAGCTAGACATATGTTGCTCACCCACATACTTCACCACCTGACAGTGTCACAGTCTGTGCCTGTGCATATCATGCATTCACGTGCTCCGAAATCTCATCCTATTCTTTCCCCACCCCAGGAAACAGCCTGAGCAAACTCACTCCTTGAGCCTTGACAAAGAACCCTGAATTTGGGTTAATGATGGAAGTATGGCATCCTTTCATGAAGTCACACTCTTACCTCTCCCCACTCACCAGCTCAGAGAACCCTTCCTGGCATTGCACTCATTCACCTCAGCACGAGTGCACCTTGACAGAGACCCTTCAGCGTGGCAGACTGAAATATAAGAAAACCTCCTGCACAACACACATGTACAATTCGTTCTTGTCTGTCCTGTGGGAAAGGCACCACATAGGCTCACAGCCACTCCCAGGATACATAGAAGCACATGTGCTTATAGGAGGCATGAGGAGCAACCCAAAATACGTAGACACACAGGCTCTGACAAACATGTAGGGTGCAAAAGAAATCTGCAGGTACAGGTCATACATACACACAAATGTGTGCTTGTTGAGACATGCACTACCCCCCAAGTGGGAAGGGCAACCCCTGGTATTGATACAGGCTGGGGGATGAACGGATTCAGAGCAGCCTTGTTGAGAAGGACATGGGGGTGCTGGTGGATGAGAGGCTGGACACGAGCTGGTAATGTGCTCTCGCAGCCCAGAAAGCCAGTTGTATCCTGGGCTGCATCAAAAGCAGTGTGGGCAGCAGGCTGAGAGAGGAGATTCTGTCCCTTTACTCCACTCTTTTAAGACCCTACCTGGAGTGCTGCATCCAGCTCTGGGGTCCCCAGAAGGACATGGACCTGTTGGAGTGAGTACAGAGGAGGGCACAATGATGATCAAAGGATTGAGCACCTCTCCTACGAGGAGAGGCTGAGAGAGTTGGGGTTGTTCAGCCAGGACAAAAGAAGGAAGACTTTTGTTCTCCAGGACAAGACTTTATTGTATCCAGTCAGTACTTGACTACTTGAAGGGGGCTTGTAAGAAAGATGGGGACAGATGTTTTAGCAAGGCCTATGGCAATAGAACAAAGGGTAATGGTTTTAAGCTGAAGGAGGGTCAATTTTGATTAGATATTAGGGAAAAGTTTTTTACAATGAGGGTGGCAAAACACTGAAACAGGTTGCCCAGAGAGGTGGTAGAGGCCCTACCCCTGGAGACATTCAAGATCAGGTTGGAGGGAGCTCTGAGCAACCTGATCTAGCTGTAAATGTCCCTACTGACTGCAGGATAATTGGACTGGATGGCCTTTAAAGGTCCCTTCTAACCCAAACCATTCTATATTTCTGTATCTAGCACTATCAAGCAGAAAATCACTCCCACGGCCAGGCAATTGGGCCCACTCAACACTAGACCTGTTCTCAGAGAGGCACTCACAACTACAGAGGGAGAAAAACCCTCTGTCTGGGAGCTGCACAAAGCTCCCTCCCATCTATGACAAAGTGTTCTCCTGGTGCCTTCTCTCACACACAGAGATTTCTGCCTGAGGGTGAATCAATAGAGAAGGGAAGAACAGCTAAGGGTGGGGAAAGTGGAGGACGAGACAAGCAAATCTGAGTATGGGATTTCTGTTCAGGCAGCCAGCACCAAGCTCAGATGAGGAAGGTAGAAAATGTCACTCAACACTGAGCACTGAAAATGTATGAAAAAGAGAATTATTTTTTTAACAGAAAAAATGCCCACCTTTCATTATCCCCCTTTGAGTCTTGATCCTCATTTGCCCAGAGACCATGGCAAAAATATCTCCTAAGTTTCTTCACAGACACATTTTTATCTTTGCCTTTGTCTGCCTTACAGAAGGTACAACCCCAGCTCCCCTAAAGCAAAGGGTGACATGCCCAGCTCTCACCTCTGGTCCTTGGGGACATCTCTCTGTGGGTTACATTTGGAATAACTGAATGTAGTGACACTTCCTGAGTTGTCCGTGTGGGACAAAGTGGGACAGGGATGATACAAGAGCCTTTGACTCTGGAGCAGATGGATGGCAGAAGAGAGTCACTGATGAGGCATGGTATAATGCAGCAGGATCCTTTGTGGCATTGGGATGGCACTTGTGATTACCAACTGACTGCAGGTGCTGTAAGTGACACAGCAGGTCCTATGCCATCATTTTGTCCTCAGCATCAAGTGGGTAGGACACTGCAAGTCACTTTTCTTCATCCCAGCCGGTCCCATTCCTGCCACAGGCATGAACTCATAGGAGCCCAGGCAAATACCAAGGGCTGCATTGCTGCAAGCCATGAGGGGAGCCAGAGGCAATAATGCCTCAAAGAGATCATGCAAACTCACCATGTGTCTGTCCTTCCCTTTCAGAAACCCAGACAAGGGGATCCAGTTCCTGATCTCCCGAGGCTTCATCCCGGACACCCCCATTGGGGTGGCACACTTTCTGCTCCAGCGGAAGGGCCTCAGCCGCCAGATGATTGGGGAATTCCTGGGAAACAGCAAGAAGCAGTTCAACAGAGATGTCCTGGAGTAAGTGTGGAAACCTATTCCCCTCCTTCCTGCACTTTAGAGGAGTTGCCAGCCCACTGTGCTCCCGGTTGCATCAACAAGCACTCCATTGTCCTCCATGCCCCTCTGTTGCCACTCTGCAGGAACCTCCCCATTCCTGCTCCCTAACTGGCACCCCTCAACACATTTCCCAGTGTTGTGTTTAGTATCATCAGCCCTTTCATTTCAATCTCTCCTCAGAAGGCCTGTGATCATCTAGCAGGAGCTCAGCACTGTCAGGGGTTAGGACTAGTGATGTTGGGAGGTTTTGGGTCTGGGAAACTCTGTGGCTGGTGTCTCACCCCACCCAAATAAAGCACCTCTGATGCTTTCTGGGAAGAACTAAGAGAGGCAGAGGAGGAAAATGTCTGCTCCTTGACCAGCAGGGAGAAGTGAATGCTGGCTACACAACTGGTTCTCTTTCTGTCCAGGTTGGAGATGAGTGTCCTTTTCAGTTTGTCCAATTGCATTACAGGGATAATTAGAAGTGTGTTGAGAAGGCCTGCATGAGGAGGCATGCTACTAAGGGTTTGTCGTTGCCATTGCAGTCACAGAGCACTGAGGAACATCCCCACTCCAAAATCTCCAATGAGCTGAACTGTCCTTTTTCAGAACAAGATCTCAGATTTCCCCCCTGCTTCTGTTCAGTCCTGTCTTTGCTAGATTGTTACCTTCAATTCTCCCCTGGTCACACAAGCCCTGTGTCTCTCAGCCACTTCTCTCCCTTCAAGTCTAGCTCATTCAGAGACACACTTCAAGGGATGACCAGAACTCAGCTGGGTCTTTTCTTTTATTATGCAGAAGCAGAGTTCTTAGGTGGGAAATCCTTTGCATTGAGTCCTTCATTATATTCTCCCATTCTCCAAAATGTTCTCTCACTTGAATTTTGCAGTGGTTTCTCTTGAACCAAACCATACAGAAACCCCAAATCCAATGCACACACAACTTCTATTCCAGAAAAAGACTGGAGGATGACAAAGTTCAAGAGCCAAATCTAGGTCCAAATTTCAAAATTCATTCCACTGCAATTGTTGTTGCTTATTGCTCCAGGTACCTGACCTTTAGTTCATCTCTTTTTTAATATACTGTATGGGTATTGATTTGGCTAGCAACAAGACACATGTTCTCTCCAGTCTCTTCATGCTGAGAGCCACAATTAAAAGTAATTGCCTCTTTCTCTCCAGCAAGCAATGTGTGGACTGCTTCCCCTGACAGATAATCTGCTGAAGTCCAAACCCAGCCTCTGCAGAGACAGGGAAATATTGCAATAGCAATATGCTGTTGCTAGCTTGTAGTCCTAAATTTGGCATCATCCCTGCAAATGACCAGGTTCTTCTGCCTCACATGGGACTACAAACTCTGTGTCAGCAGCTCCTGAGAACAGTCCCTATTGCAAAGCTTGGTATCTGCCTCCCAGCCCCAAGGCCCGGGAGCTGCTGTGTTGTGGTTGCCTGTCTTGTTTCTCCATATAGTGGGGGGGACCACTGAAGCCAGGGGCCCTACTCCATCATGCTCATTAACCTGAGTTTCCACTGCACCTCTCATTGTACCACTGCAAATGTTTATGAAAGAGTGACCTTGCCATCCTTTTTACCTTGCCATCCTTTTTACCTTGCCATCCTTTGTAGAAAGCAAGGCTCAAAGATGGGGACTGAGCTATTGAGGCTGTGGACATATCTTGGACATGGACTGTGCGTGTCTGAATGTATATCAAGAAACTGAGTCTGAATTCAGGGTTCAAACCCGTGTCTGATCTCTCCAGGCAACGGATGATATACTTGCACTAACAGTCTGTGCTGCCAGCCCCTCTTCACAATAAATGGCTGATTCGTCTTCCTTAAAGGCAAAGATAAAAGTAGACTTAAAATATACACAAAACTTCTAAAACAGGAAAGAAAGAACACGCACATTCAGCTGGTTGTGGCTGTGCTGTTTGAAGGTACTTTCACTCTCTTCCTGTGTCATTCTGAACTTGAGGGAGCAATGTTTGGTGGTTTTTGCAAGCAAATTTTCCTCAGCTGCTTGTGAGGGCTGGCTGGGCAATCGCTGTACACCTAAGAGTGTGACGTGCATGGAAACAATTGAGAAAGTATTGACAGGAGAAATTCTGGCTCGGGATTATCATCCTGGATATTTTCCCTGTCCATGCTGCAGGAAGAAGAGGGCTGGCAGTGCAGTGTAGTGTGCTGGCATTTGCGGTGTGCTAAAGCTCAAGGTCTGGTCACAACTTCTGAGCTGTTTCTATGGGAACAAGAGGCAGATCAAAGACCTTTTGGCATCTTAGAACTGTCTAAGACCTAGTCTGGTTCTCATTCCCCATCCAACTCCATCAAAGTAGCTCAGGAACGCTGACTCAAGTTGAGAGAATAGTCTCTGCAAGGGCTGTCTTGCAGTCCCCACATCTACCCACACTTAGAAAGCCAATGTTAAGGTATGTGGCATTCTCTGGAGACCATGTTGAAGCAACAATACCCCCTACAGTAGTTTTTGCACAATCTGCCCAATAGCACAGCCATTGTTGTGTCTCAAATTGGTGGAAGAAGAACAGGCACTGTTAGTCCTGGCAAGGTCAGATGTCCAGGCAGGGTGGCCATGAGCACACAGCAGTTCTTGGACAGGCTTGACCACCTGCATGAGCAAGCTTGCATGCAGTCAGGGGTATCTGTGCTCTTTCACATCCCAAACCTGACCCTGGAGCCTCCTCTTCCTCCCCAAAGCAATTTCAATTATTGATGCCACTTGCTGTGTTAGTTTAGCTTTCGCTTGATGTGAAAACTTATGTTGCAATTGTGTATTGTAAGCAATGTTTCTATTGCAGCCAGGTTAAATTAACCCAGCTGCATGAATAAATAATAGGACAACTTTTAAAACATCTGCAAAAGTGTCAGACTCCCTTGTGCATTTGGAGGCAGGTCAGAGCTGCCCAGGTTACAAACTCCAGACTCAGCTGTAAAGCCCAGCCATAAGTCTATACTCTGCAAAGTTCTCTTGGCTCCCACAGATATTGAAGCTGTGCTGACTGACAGACAAGCCAACCTCTGTCTGTTCTTCCTGTCACAACAGAGCTCAGGAGTGCAGAGTGGCATTTGGCACTGTGAAGATGATCCCACTTTACTGCCCACCTAGTAAATGCAAAGCTCCAGAGAAGAGCCATGCTGGATGCAAAGCCTTTTATGTACATGGGCAGGGTTGAGGCAATGATAAGTGTTTTATGAGGTTTGGAGTGCTTTGGTAGGCTGTTTTGCCTTCTCACACCTTCATGCCCACTGTCTAAATGCCCTGAAATTATAGTCTCCCTTCCATCTTCCCACTCTTATCTTTCAACCTTTAGCTGATTTTCTTGGAAGTCAGAAAAGGTGTCTGGATAACTCACAAGTAATTATACACACTAGCCAGAGGATCAAGGGAGAGGGCAGGGGATTTTCAACAGTTTCTGACTATCATTGACATATACACTTTGATAACACTAACCTGCTGAGGTTTGTCTCTTTAGGAAGATGCACTATGTAATTTTCTCTTGTAGAAAAGGCTTCAATCTTTAAAATAAGGATTTCTCTCAAGTGTTGTTGGCCACCAACAAATTTAGTGTTTTCTATCAATTTACGAATTCCTTTCATCAAAGAGGGATGGATCCCTCAAGAGTGTTGTTCTTCTCAATGTGCTGGTTTAAGCTGGACATCTAACTTTTAGGCATTTTGTGTTACAGGGCATAAATCCCATCTGTAACCTATTTTAAGCATCCCACTGAACAACCACTCACTGCAATCAGCATCCCACAGAAGGATCCAGCCTCTTCTCTTGGGAATCTGCTTCCACAACCTGTCCTGCAGCCAGCTGGGAGGAGTCACTGGGGACCTATCTCAGGGTTTCAGTGTCTAGCAGTCCAGGAAATACAGCTGGAAAGAGGTAGACCAGGTCATTAAAGCACCTATGTGGCAGTGAGCAGTTTCAATCAAATCTATTTGGCAAGTACTGCAGAAAAATAACTTTATTACTTTAAAAAAGTCAATCCCAAGGCATTAAAACATATTTTTAATATGAGACACATCATCATTCTTGCATCCTTTATTCATTCTCTGTTTATCTGTTGCTTTTGTTGTCCTTCGTTCATACTTCCCTTCGCTTTAGTTCATTCTTCCCCTCCACCTGTTTCTGGCTCAGGAATTGCTTCCTTTTATCCATTCTTGTTTATTCATGAACAAGAGGACAAAATGGGCAGGGACTCAAGCAGAGGAGACGTGCTGAGTCGGGGGCTGTTGATGTTAGACTGTGAGTTGCTGTTGGGGACGCTCCCCCTGTGGGTGAGCAGCTTTCCTGTCTGTCAAGCCTGTATTGTCTTTTCTTTCTCTCGTGGAAAAGTCAGGGACAGCAAAGCTGCTCTTAGGACTGTAAGTGCAGAGCTGGGAGCCCAGCAAAGAGACTGTCTCTCAAAGAAGTGTTAGATTCCTCTTGGACTGGCATAATGAACTTGTCAGGTTAGCCCAAACTAGGCTTCTTTCTCCTTCTCACTGAGGACATTGCAGAGGATCAATAAGGAGCGTGCGTCACAGGAGGGTTTGAGCAGCACGGTGTTGCAGCTTGTGCTGTGGAGCAATAGATAATGATGTGATGGAAACAGGACAGAGGGAAGAATGTGTTAGGCAGCTCTGGCCTCCTGCTGCAAGCAGAGCTGTAGCACAGATCAAACGTAAGCAAGAACTGCTTTCCCACATCAGGCTTGTGAAGGCTGAAGGTGCAACTTGAACCTGCCTAGGTCCACGGGAAGACAGTAGTTTCCTTTGTTCCCCAAGGGAATGTTCCCAATGTCCCTTGGAGGGGAAGGTGTAGGCTAGGCAGAACCCTCCCCTGCATTGTCAACATGTCTGGTGTGGGAACAGCTCTGTACTTGTGAGGCAGCTTTGGTGCAAGGCATGGTACACTAGGCAATTCCTTGCTTAGGAAGGAGTAGGTGCCCAAGTAGCCATGTGAGACACCAACAACCATGGGAGGGCAAGTGGGCATGAATCAGCCCCAGAAAAAAGCAGGCAATACGTGTCATGTAGCATCCCCCTGAAAGAGAAGACTGGTGTAGGCCATGGTCTTCATTGTAGAGATTATCCTTGCACAGGAGGGCACAGAGGGCAGGATTGGGACATGTGCCTGTGCCCACTGGTGCAAGGAATCAGTGAGTACTGCTAAGTTTTTGTTCAGTTAGCACATGCAGGGCAGCCTCCTCACATGGAGCTGAGCCCTTCCTCTACAATTCACCCAAATCCTGGTTCACCTGCAGGAAGCCTGTAGAATTAGGGAAGCTGAGAAAAGGGATGATTTTTTATTAATATCTTTGTGCCTTGTGATTTTAAACTTTCCACCTGGCTGCCTCCCCCATTGCTCCCTCCCTGAGTGTAGGCTGTAGGTTCATTACAGACACTTTTAGTTGCATCCCAGCTCCTGCTGCACTGTCACCTGAGCGGAAAAGCTGGAAAATAGGTCATTACACTTGGGTGAGCAGATCCCAGCCCCACATGATACAGCTGCTTCCTGCCCTCACTGAACCCTTTTGCCACAGGTTTTTTTGCCATGCTTAGCCCTGTGCTAAGTCCTCACAGTTCTGAAGCCATTTTGTCCACCCCCTTTGGGGGGAATGCCCTGTAGCCTAGGAGGCAACATGGCTACCACAGAGATAATAGCTGGGCAAAATAATCCATCTAGAATCCATCTTTGGTCCTGGCAGCTGGTGTGGAACACTCTGCAGTTGTGAGGTGCCTGTCTGTTGGGTGTCCCAGGGCACATCAAGCTCCCCATGGATACAGGTGGCACAAGAGCCCTCAAACCCCACTACTTTGTTTATGAGGCAGGGTGTCAGCACTTTTTCTACACAGTTCAGCAACATGATCCAAAGATCCAAAGTCATATCCCTGCAAATACAGGGCTAAATGAGTTTCTGGATGCACTGTGAGCTCAATTTGTGTGGCTTGTTGCAAGTTCATGGGCATGAAGGAGTTGAAACAGGAGGAGATTTTATAAGGTGATTACTGTGCCCCTGCTTTGTTATCCTTGAGGCCTTCTGGAGGTCTTGGAATAGCCATCTCACAGATGTCTGTGGAAAAAAATGAACCTGGCACTGGTTTTGGCATGTGCACATAAGCTGTTGGTTTATTCCTTGGATGCAGAGAGCTGCCCACTCTCATATCCTGTGTCAGCTTCCAGGGTCTCTGCCTTGGAAAGAAAAGATCTTCTTGCTCTGGCTTCATAAAGAAAAGTTGCATTACATTTCAGAGGAGCTCCTACACAAGCAGCACAGTGCCTTCGGGAAGGTAACGGGAGTCAGCACAGGAATCTGAAGTCAGGCAAAGCAGCAAAACTTGCAGCCATGTAGCAGAGGAGCAGGAACATGGCAGCCCCATAGCACAGGGCTCTTCTTTGAATGAACTTTCCTGTGTCAAATTGCTCACAAAAAGTATCAGACAGCTATGAGCCACCGTTCTTTCTGTCTGTCTAGCAGCAGAAAGTAGCAGCCTACCTGATGTCTCCTCTAGGAGCTATTCCTCAGACCTTTGGCACAGGCTTTGTCAGATAAATAAAATCCAAGCACAAGCTGACTTCACTTGAGTCAAACATTCTTCCTGACCTGTCTTTTCTGCCTGTTCAGCTTTTCTCAGGAAGCAGGACACCCTTCTTTGGGCTTAGGAACAAATGGAAGAGACTCCTAGGAGTTCTTAAAATTTACAAAGTAAACCTGTATCCATGGGAGAAGCTCTCAAAGGAGAAGCTGAGCATAACTTATGTAGCAATGCCTGTTTGAGTCTGAAAAGAGCTATGAGCAGCTGTCTTGTCCTACTTGTCCTAATAAAGGTTTGATGCTTTCTGTATCAAGGGCATTGACTTTATTACTTGAGATTTCTAAATGGGAGGACATGTTAGAGCAGCCTGTGTGGAAGGGGAAAGACTGATCAAAGAGGGAAGGAGGGAGCAAAAGATGATTTAATGCTGGTGGATTGGGTGACCTCAGCAGCTCTCCCTGGTGTGTGCAAGGACTCTGCTTTCACGTATTTGGAAGCAGACAATAGCAGCAAAATCATTGGGGTCAGTGCTGAGAAACATCACACTTTGGAAAGGATTAAAAAAATAACAATGAAAGTCCAAGTGCAGAGGTGGTTGCAGCTGTGAACACAATAATGACTAACCAGAGAAAAACTGTTCTTAGTATCAAAGATAAATTCCAAGAAGCAGAATGCCTTGATGTCAACCCAAGGGAGTGAGTATAAGTATGAGAAAAATAAAAATAACAAAGGGAAGAGGCAGTGGAGGAAGATTTCCTATTGCCAGAAACCATTTGTGAGTGTTTCTGCAGTCCACCTCTTGGAGAGAGAAAAAAATGTTTCATGGAAGGTTTTCTGGGAGAGCAGTCACTTTGATTCTCTTCCCTTGCTCCTCATCAATTGTTCCTAAATTTCAATTGTATGGAGTTTGTGCAGGGAAAGAGCCCACATTTCCTAGCTGAGGCTGTAACAACTCCAGCTTTAGAAGATACAAAGCACTTTATGCTCATTCAGAGCTCTTGGTAAATTATTCTGTGGGTGTCACCCCAGTTAAATGATGATATCTCAGCTTTGAATCAATAAGGCAGTGGAAGAATGGAGAGATGTCTCTGAGCATTTGAACCCTGTCCCTCATGCATTTGAGGCATTGTACAACAGATTTTTATTCTAGTAAGGCTGCACATGGCACTCAACAGCCTAGTTCACAAACCACTTCCCAACAAGCCCACAGCAAACTGCAGCACTGTGGAAAAGACCAACAGACACATCTCCAGTTTATCACAGAAAGGAAGAAGAAGAAGAAACTGGTGACAGCACATCCCTTTATTGGAAGAGGTCTGTTTGGCATAATTTCCAGTACTCCTAGGAAATGGAAGGATCTAGAAGACAGCTAATCCCCTCCTCCTCTATTTTTCCTGCACCACTCCTCATACAGTCCCAGACAACCTGTCTTGGGGAAAATTTCCTCCTAACCTTAAAGTTGGGGTTAATTTATCCTTTACAACATGAGAAAGCAATCCAAACACAATACAAAGAATGAAATAAAGGGTGGAGAGAGGTAGATAGAACTAGTATCCAAGGTCTATAGATGCAGAAAATAGGAAGTTCTTGAATTTTTAATACATTTCTTATGTCAAGTTGATGCCATTAGCAAATTAGTAACTTTGTATTTAAGGAAGGCTTAAAGAAAATAGGATTTTGGCAGCTGTGAATTTCTTGGTCTGTCAGACAGAATGTCAGCTTTGAAAATTTATTTGTAGGAAAGAATAATGAGAGATAGGAAGGTAAATGCAACATACAAAAGCCAATAGACAGTATACGATATCTGTCTGTTAAAATAACTAGTTTTCTAGACAAAGGACATATAGAAGGTAATTCTAGACTTCAGCAAAGCATTAGACATGAGAAATATTTAGTGGAGAGTGGAAGAGAGAGAAATTAGCAGAGGAATCATAAAGAGGGGAGAGAATTGGCTGATGCAGATATTAGTGCCTACATGCTCTGCTGAAATGGGAAGTTGGTCCTAAGGGAGGTTATGAACAGACTTTTCTGAGTCTAGTCTTTTGATTAATGCTTGCAGTAATGACCTGAGCACAAAAGGTAGGAATAGCTAACAGAATGTGCTGGAGCCACATGGGGAAGATGTTGTCTTTACAAGTGACTGAAATATCATGCTGTAAGAATAAGAACAAGTAGATTATTTGACTAATACAGACATCAAGAACTGTACTAGTAGGTTTTGGAGACTAACAGCAGGACCTTTATAAGATGACAGTGCTTAACTGGGAAATACAAGAGGTAGCATCCCCTTCTTGGAGTATCTAAGTTGGCCATGAATTACAAGTGGGCAGTGCATCACTTTGAAATGAAAAGTGATACCAGATGAGAAGGTGGTGTTGCAATGTTAATTCTGTACAACAGCTTCCATTTCCTATTTTCCCTGAGCTGGCTCTGGTCTTAAAAGACCTAATGAATGCCATTGCTGCAGTGGTTGAGAAGGGAGTGAAGAGTGGTGAAGAAGATATGGGTTGGAAATGGGGATGGATACTGGGCAGAATGGAGGGTGAGAACAGGCCAGTGAACTGAGATAACAGAAGGATGGATAAGCAGGTAGTGAACAAGTGCATGTGCTGACAGGGACGGAGGAATGAACAATGTGTGAAGGATTACCAGATGATAGGAAAGTCAGAATTAGATGGATTTATCTCTGTATTGATATTGGTCTTGATATAGGTGTCTAAATATCTATGTCAATATAGATGTCTAGATATCTATATATATATATAAATATAAATATATATATATATGTAGTTAGGCACAAGAATTGCTCACCAGCTGTAGAACACAGAAATCAGTTCTCTGAAATTACTGCCTACTGTAAGCATGACCTGGGCAGCTGTAGTGATGTCTCAGGACATTTCCTATGGTATTTCCCTGGGGGACTGAGCCTTGGCACTGCAGTGAAGGAGCCTGCCCGGTGTTATCCACGGGAGGATGTTCTGATGAAGGCTGTCCCCCTCTCACAGCTGCGTGGTGGACGAGATGGACTTCTCAGGCATGGAGCTGGATGAAGCCCTGCGGAAATTCCAGGCCCACATCCGCGTGCAGGGGGAGGCACAAAAGGTGGAGCGGCTAATTGAGGCTTTCAGGTAAGAGAATGAGCCCTGCAGTCCTACTGCTGCAACCAGGTGGAAGCAGAGAACACACCCAAGGCAAAAAAACAGTCATGGAGAGAATGACTGAGGATTTCCCTTCCAAGGAGGGTGGCCATGGAGGGGCCCTCTGTGCCACTGAAGTGTGGAGTCCTCTGTGGAGTCCTCTGTGCCACTGCTGCATATGAGCCACGTCCTTGTCAGATGTACGGTGGCATGAAGGACACAAAGGGCCAGAGGGAGGCCAGTGCTTACATGTCTGCCAGCAAGGGGTTCCCTGTTCCTTGGTGTGTTCAAAGGAAGAGCAGCAGTGGGGCTTGCAGGGATGCTGGGTTGGTCCCTTGGTGCATCCAGAGGAGTGCTTTGTCTCTAGCAAGGCAGGTTGGAGTAGTCACCTGCTGTATTACCCTTACACAGTGACACCTCTCTAGTCTCACTTGCTTTTTTGGTTCCTGAGAACAAGAAGGCTGAAGTTTCAGTGGCCTACTTCAGCCATTGGTGGGGAAATTTGCCTTCAGAGAGCAGTCAGTTCTTTCTCATTTGTATGAGAGGTGGAGTGAAAGGAGCAATTTGTTCTACATGTGATAAAGCCATTGCCAACCTGGAGCAGAGAGCTCCCCTGTTCCATGTTAAGTGTGTGCATCCCTCCTGCTGCAGCCAGAGGTACTGCATGTGTAACCCAGATGTGGTCCAGCAGTTTCACAACCCGGACACCATCTTCATCTTGGCCTTTGCAATCATCCTACTCAACACGGACATGTACAGCCCCAACATCAAGCCTGACAGGAAGATGATGCTGGAGGACTTCATTCGCAATCTCAGAGGTGAGGGTCCTGCTTTGATTTTTTTTTTTTGCCATCTTGCTGCTCTCAATTCTGCCTAGGTGAAGGCAGCAAAAATCTAGGGGAACTGTCTTTCTCCAGGGCTGCTGCTGCTCCCTGTGAGCCAGACATGGGAAGCCCTTTGAGGTCCCTTCTAGGGTGCTGGGGAAGGGAAAAATCTAATTAGCTTTTTCTTCTGCAGAAAGCTGTCCAACCTTCTCTGAAACAAGCCATTTTCCTTGAGAGATGGTTTTATCTTTTAATAGATCTCATTGCTTGGAAGCAGTTCATTGTATTAAATTTTCCTATTGTTCAGCTCTATCCTTCTTAGACCCTGCTGGATTGTGCTAAACAAGCCCTTCCCCTCCTTGCCGGTTTGAATATATGAACACATTTTCCTTCTATTCAGGCTAAATCTTCCCCTTCTTAATTGCCTGCAATTACTTATAGTAACTGTAGGCATGACAGAGTTCATGCATATATTACCTCTTTGCAATTTCTGATACATCAGTTCCCTAAATCAATTTTCTTCTGTTTTCAAGGTCAGTCCTTCCCATCTTGGTAATAGGTTGCTAAAAGCACTTTTTCAGATGTGGTCACAACATACTCATATATATAGAGCCACTGCCTCGTCCTTATTTTCAGATCTGCTAATGCAGCTTAGTATTATTTGGCCTTTTTGACATCATGTCTAGGCAAATTCTTGTCTAATTTCCCAGCCATTTTCAGTCCTAGGTCATCTTAGCTCAGCCATCTTCCAAGTTTCTCTTACTGCACATCTGCAATTCAGATGACGCTCCCTCAAAGTTTTTCCAGTGTAAACTCAGGTATTTTTTTGAAGATTTTGTATTTCTGTGGGTTCCTTTGACTTGTTTCTTTGTCCTGATTGCTGTTCAGAAACTGTCGTCTGAGCCTCCCACACCTTCCACAATTTGTCATCTGCTTCAGACTGGCATAATATGACACTGAGGTCCCTTTTCAAGTTAATTCTAGAGATACTGAATGGGAATGCTACCTGCCATCATCCCCTTTAGTATTACAGCTGAAAGCACTAACTCAAAAGGTTTTTTTTTTTCCAATTGTTAACTTACTCTTTAGAGTTGCTTGAAAATCTGCCAGTTAACATCACAATGAATTAAGCCAACATGAGGGTCCCTCACCTCCAGTGTGTAACACACCACAACTCCCTCACTCAAGCGAGTGAATGTCACCCCATTACAGACAAGGGGAGACAGTTCATTCCAAACTCACCTGCAGGCCAATGCTCAGGTCAGTATCTTCACCAGCCTGTGTTTCAAAAAAGACAGGGTGTTCAGGATGAATTTGCAAGGACGTGGAGGAGGGAGCCAGGAGATGACAATGCCTCTCCATTCCTCAACAGTTGCTCACCTGCTTCACTCAGGGTAGCACATCTCAAGACCAGGTTGCTGGAGGGAAAGCAGAGAAAATCAATATAGAATGACTGAAGGAATTCAGTCTGGAGAAAGAACTGGTAGTTCAATTTGCACTGTTTGTCTCAGGGAAGGGTAAAAGAAAACTTTTCTGAAGGGTCAGACAGCAAAATTTGGAGAATTACCCAAGGAGATGTAAAAGAGGAAAGGGCAGGATCAAGACAGAGATATCACAGACTGAATAGCAGGAAATTACTCCTAGGAGACAACACAGAAGGAAAATGGTGGAGGTCACCAAGCAGACAAGGAGAGCTGATGCTTGCATTGGCAGCAAGAGCTGCTGAATCCCATCGTAGGTCTTCTCCACATCTAGCACTTCTGATGATATGAAATCAATGCAGGGGTTGCTGCTGAATGGCCCAAGATATATCAATGTGAAATTGTGGCTATAAAACCTTAGGGAACGCATGGAAAGGAGCCACCATGCAGAGCAGTGGAATAATGAAATTTTCTGCATTGGCCTTAGAGTTGTCAGTCTCTCCTGCTGGTGCATTAGATGCGTTAGAGCAAGAAATAAGACAACTTAAAGTGAAGTACTGCTATTCCCCTTCAGCCTTCCCAGCACTGCACAGTGTAGAGGCAGTAGTGGCTTGCCAGGGACGATACATTATCTGTGTTTGGCAGGGGTGGACGACGGTGCTGACATCCCACGGGACCTGGTGGTGGGAATCTATGAGAGGATCCAGCAGAAAGAGCTAAAGTCCAATGAGGACCATGTGACTTATGTCACCAAAGTGGAGAAGTCCATAGTTGGAATGAAAACGGTGAGCACCCACAACCCTGCTGGCACACAACCCTCTGCCCCCTACCTCCCTCGGTGCCCTCTTTTCTGTGTTTTTCCTCTATGCCCTTCCTCCTCCTATGTAATACTTTCTTTGTTTGTCTTGGTGAATTTACTCCTTTTTCTCCAAACACTTTTCTCCCTTCTATCTCATTCTCTTCTAATTTTGGAGGATCTCCTTGGCCAGAATTTGCAGTATCTAGGGCAGTAATTATTTGCCCAAGAATTTTGCTGCAGATCCTGCCTGCCAGGGCTCCACTGATAGCTCTGCAGTGTTTCAAACTTTTGGACCTCCTAAGGGTGTAGGAATTGGAAGGCAAAGTGATAGAAAACAATTTTAGCCATCTGTCTCTAATGAGTTCCCTAAAGATTGCTGGGGTTAAGAGATCCCCAAATGCATAGACAGCTTCTTTAGCAGTAACCAATCTGTAATGCAAGACCACATGTACTGTTTACCCAAAAGGAGCAGAATAATTTCTCAAAGCCCAGGAAACCTGCAGGTGTCCAGCAGGGTGAGAGAGGATGAGCAGTCACCCAGGGATTGGAAGGCAGAGGTACATAAAGGCAGGGGGTGTAAACAAGAGGGTTGCCTATAGCCTACCCCCTGATTTATCTGGATCACAAAGGCACAGCTCTCTCTGCTACTGCACCAGCAGGAAAAGTGACGGCGAGGAGTGGTGGTGAGGAGATGATTTGAGTGGGCAAAATGGGCAGGATTGGCTTGAGCTATTGTCACTGGGCAGGGTTGTACAGGCTGAGGGTGGGAGAGACACCAGTGGCACCTCCCTCAGCCTCTGCATCCTTTGTGGGTTCCCTGCAGGTTCTGTCCGTGCCCCATCGCCGGCTGGTCTGCTGCAGCCGCTTGTACGAGGTGACCGACGTGAACAAAGTGCAGAAGCAGGCAGCTCACCAAAGGGAAGTTTTCCTCTTCAATGACTTGCTGGTGGTGAGTGTGCTCTAACAATTAGGCACTGCAGTAATAAAACTCGCCCTGATTTCCGAACAGAAATCTGAAACCAGTCCACAATATGCATTTTCCCCCTGTCTCCTAAGGACAGACCATCTCTTGGTTCATCACCATTGTAAGATGTCGCTCTGAATCCTTCACTGTTAAAAACCTACTAAATCTAAAACTCTACTAACCCTTGAAAAAACAAACTGTCACATCCCAGAGCCATCCAAGCAATGTCATTGCTCTCTCTCATGCCTTTGCCAGCAGGGAGGTTCATTTCATGAAAGCGAGGTTCGTTTCTTTGTCTGTTTGTACCGTAGTAGACAGAACCCTCTCATGCACTTTAAATCTTTCCTGCCAGACACATTAAAACCACTGCCTTCTAACATGGAAAAGGTTGTAGCAGACTATATAGTACTTGCCAGACCCCCAAATGTGTATAGTACTTTTGAAAGTGTCCTGCCCCAGCACCTTGAAATGAATTCAGGCAGGTGCAGGAGAGCACAGGTACACTGAGACTGAGAGGAGGATGAACAGAATGGAAGCCCTGCTGAATTTAATGGCAAAGTGAAACTGTGTTTTTTGCAAATGTAAGGCTAAAACCAAACCCTTTTGTAGAAGCGGAGGATAAGAGACCTGTACCACTATTCCTCTGCATCCATTTGTACAGTTGTGAATCTGGGGAGAGGGTCTGCTCTTTGCTATCCCTCTACTCCAAGGATCCATAAGAACTACTGCTGAGGAACGAAGGCAGCACATCATTCAGTTATGCTCTTTCTCCCAGTTCTAAGGTATTTATGACAGGCTTCCCTTTGCCTTTTTATCTGACCCTTGGTGAAGAGAATTACCCTTGCAAAGTCAGAAATGTGGTAATTGAAAAGCCAAGACCCCTGGGAGACAGAGAGCTGAGTGAGCCCCAGGGTGATGCCTACAGAATTTCAGAAGTGTTGTTACAAGTGCAGCATGCCAGGCAGCTTTCTGGGCAAAGAGCCTGTCAGTCACCAAGCTCTGCTCCCATCTACACTTAACAGAGCTTGCTAAAAGCTTTTTGCTTTGAGCAGTTTTCATTGTTCTTGCCTCACTGTTCCCCAAGACCCTGCCCAGTGATGCATCTCTCCCTCCAACAGATCCTCAAGCTTTGCCCGAAGAAGAAAAGCTCCTCAACGTACACATTTTGCAAGTCAGTCGGCCTGCTAGGGATGCAGTTCCATCTCTTTGAGAACGAATGTAAGTCTATTGCTCCTTGGTTGCCTGGAGGGGTTTGCCAGGGAAAAGGAGAAGGAGGGAGGGGACTGTGTCACCCAGTGTGAGTTTGCATCAGGAGAGAGATTCTGTCAGAGTTAAAAGTGGAGGGGAGAAAACTGAGGCTTGGTGCTGAGGAGACAGACTGTTTAGGGACAGTGTGATGAGAAGCTTCTGGTACCTCTCCTAGGTCTGAGCACCTGCAGAGGGGACTCATTGAGGGCTCTGTCTTGTCTTGGTGTCAGAGAGAACACTGGTGGTGAGGAAAGAGGGAATCAGTCCTCATATACATCCTACTGAGCTCTCAGGAGCCAACTGTAGGTGAAGAATCCTGTTGATGAAACTGCTGCTGCCAGCTTTAGCCCCTGTCCCCTCATGGCCAAAGTCACAACTCCCACCACTGCCTTTGACATTGGCAGAGGCTCAGGTGCTGCCGCCGCCTCCCTGCACAGTGCCATGCTGCGCTGAAAGCTTCCCAAGACAGAAGCAGAGCCCTTGGAACAGCACCCACCAAAGCATGGCGAGGGGCCAGCCCTAGTCAGCCTGACCTTGATGGTCTGGGAATAGAGCCATGATGTGTCATGATTGAGGCTGGTTGTGCAGTGGAGGAGTTCCAGACACAGGCAGGCTTCCTGCTGGCACAGGCAGAGGGGCACCACAGCAGTCCCAGGCAAGCATGGCTGATGCCCACTGGGGTTTCATGAGCACGTGCAGAACACGGTGCAAGAAAGGCAGTGGCTACACTAAGTTTTTTACATCCCTTCTCTACTCTATTGGCAGCATGAGTCACTCCCTCAACACCCCACCCTCTGCAACATGCAGAAGCTCTCACATCCCTGTATGAACAAAAGGGTCATTCATAACTGAGCATCCCCAGGAGGCACCATCAGAGCTGGAATCAGCTTTCAGGGTTGGCGTGACTATCCTGGTAGTGCCCAGAGATCTTCTGGCAAGGGCATCCTGTTGTGTATTCCCTGCAGAGACAGAAAAGCAGATGTCCTAAAGAGCTTGTGATCTGAACAGATGAGAGAGACACAGGGTGGGGAAAGGGGCCTGGCACACAAACAGGGGGAGCTGAGGGCTGGCAGCAAATAAAAGGTTAGTTCTTTGGCTTGTTTGGTAAAGACTGATATGGGAAGGCTCATATATAAGACTGCCAGTGGAAGGCAGGCAGATGTAGGAGCAGTGGAGGAGAAGTGAAAGCAGGAGAAGGGAACAGAAAAATTAAATTTAGAGAAATGTGAAAGGAAGGAGAAAAGGGAATGAAACCACTGGCCATTGAGCAAAAGGTAGAGGAAGTCCAGTCAAAAGTGTGTTAAGTTCTTTGTACACTCTCATTCTTTTGCTTGTGTTGGCGGAATCTCCAGTCACCACCTGCACCCTATCTGATCTTTAAAACATAAGGAATTTTGCTGCGATATTTTCACTCTCTGGGCATGTCCCTTCATTTACATTCCTGTGTGTTTTGCCTGTGGAGAGTACTAAACAGAGACCTACAAACCCACACCTTTCTCTTTGCCATTCTCCCCACACAGCACAATGAGCGCCCCCAACAATGCTGTGCCAACACCCCTGCCATGTTCTCTGAAGATCAAAGCAGAGACTGGGGAGAAGTCCTGCCACTGTGCATGTTAGTGGCTGTTCTGGCTTTGACACCAGCAGATAACCTCTCCTGATGCATCTCCCACAGGAGAAAGTGATGTTGGCCTCATATATGCTGTTTACTCTTTCATGGATTCAGAAGGGCTTTACAGTCCTACCTGTGTGCTCAGGTTCCCAGGGCCAGCTCACACTAAGTGTAACTAGGAGCTAGAATTTTCTGGGTTTGGTAGCACTGTGGTGCTGATGGCACTTGCTTTGCTGCTGCAGCTTGGCCATTCTGTTCTCTTGTAGGGCTGGAATGCTGCAGATTCCCACAGTTTGCAGTGTGACAAATTCTGGGTGTGCCATTCCTTTGGACTCATGCTGAAAACTCTTTGTTTTTGAGAGATACCAAAGCAGGCAACTACTCCAGCAAGAATGCCTAACATCTCTTTATTTATATCTTCTTTACAGATTACCCCCATGGCATTACACTGGTGACTCCAGTTTCAGGCTCAGAGAAGAAACAGGTACTACACTTCTGTGCTCTGGGTGCTGAGGAAATGCAGAAGTTTGTAGAAGATCTGAAAGAATCAATAGCAGAAGTGACAGAACTGGAACAGATACGAATTGAGTGTAAGGGTCTCTAATACAATTCACAATCCAATGCCATCACACTGCATGTGACTACAAGGGAAAAAGGGTAAAGGAAATGAGTTCTTCAGGAACAGCAGGAAAGAGGACGAGTAGCACAAGTCTGCACAGGATTGTTCTTGGGTTCACTGAAAAGATGAAAAAGCAGTCAGACACCCTGACCACTGGCCAGCAGAAGAAATGGAAGAACTTAACTACTTACAATGCTTATGGAACAGGGTGTATGATACAGTGGCCTGGAATAGTGAAGCTTAGACTGTCATACTCAGAAGACTCTTCTCTCTCTATGTAAATATGATTTGTAGATAACTGGGACAGGTCTGGTACCCCTTCACTTCAGGAATGTCTAGTGGGCAAGCAGTCTATGTCACTCCATGGCCTGTCATACAGATGAGATGTCCATGTAGCCTTTAAAGGCTCTTCTGTGCATAAACTTATGAGCCAAAGCAGCTCAACATCAGTGGTCCCCTCCTGTGCAACACTAACCTATTCTGTATAAATGCAGGTCATACATAGAAGGTTGTGTGGAGATACATAATTCCTCCCCATGTCAAGTCCTCTCCAGTTTCTGTTTTTCTCTTGCCTGTTCCTCTCTCCCTTCTTGACACTCTCTTGTGATTTTCTTGCATTACTTCTCCTTTTGCTCCTTCAATATGCTGGTGTCCTTCCCTCTATCCCTCTCCTCACTGATTTCCACATGTCTGCCTTTTAGGGGAACTGGAGAAACAGCAAGGGACAAAGACTCTCTCATTAAGGACCAATGGAGCCCAGATGGAATTGCAGTCTAAGCAAGGCTCTCCAACAGGTAAGCGGACACCCAACTTTTCTTGGTCAAGCAGTGCTGCCTTTGCAAGTGTGTTATCATTGGTTCCTGTGAGCATAACTGCAAAAAGAAGCATTCAGTTTTGTATCCTTTAGCCTTGGGCAAATAGTGGAAATATGAGAGCATATGGATTCTTCAAATATCCTAGCAAAAGCGCTGAAGTCTCATTACCCAGTCTGTAGCTGTAACATCTAGTAAAGAGGTGTTACTGATGGAGCATGGGTGACTTCTGAATTCTTCCCTGAACTGGTGAAACACAGTCTCAGTACAATTAACTTCCTCCAGCATCTTCACTAACACTTTGTATCAAAGGCTTTGTGTCTGTCCGTGCCTAGGCTTGTATGCCAGCAAACATCAAGTGCAGAGGTGAGTTGCTACCAACTCACTAGAATGGCACTGAGATCAGGACCTAAGGACAGGACCCCAAAGAGGTCTCCTCTTACCCCACTAAGCAACTATCAGGTTGCAAGAGGGTCTGGATTTGTTCTTGTTTGGCCCTGCACCTCTCCCTTTAACTTTCCAGTCCACTCCAGTATGAGGGCCAGCTCTTGACTAGAGGCACAGACCTCATGAGTGAGATATTTTGTTTTATTTCAAAGGCAAGAAGGATTTGGGGGAGAAGGTCTCGGACAGCACAGTGGAGGTAAGTAGAGTGCAGAGTAGCTGAGGTAAGTAATTCCCTCTCACTTCAGCTCTTCTCACATTCTCTGTTGTTTCTTTTCTCAGGTTTTAATCAATGCCTCCCCAGCCAGACTGACAATTTTACCAATTTCCAGAGATACAATTAAAAGTTACTGCTAGGACGGGTAATACAACTTTCAAATCCAAACTAAACTTCAAAGCATTTTCAATCCGTTTTTATAACTGTAACATCCTTCATGGACCAAGCTCCCAAACGCTGTAGACTAACCCACCCCACTGCTTATGGGGAGACTGAGAACCCCACTATAGACTTCCCTGACATGCTAACTCCATGCAGCATCACATGCAAATTCCCTGCAGCCCAGCTTTCCTGCACAGTCTCTGCAGCTCTGTCTCTCCATCCCCCCTTGGATGGGATTAAGCATGGCCTTTGTATATCAGACTTTCCCTAGAGCTTTACCTCCCTAGGTAGGGAGCTTGGCTGTACTCTGTACATCTATCTTTGCAGGGATGTAACATCCAGTGGGTTGCCTGTTTCTTCACAGACACCCATACTCCCACTGCCTGTGAGGAAACAGGAAAATGCAATCTTCCCACTGAAAATCTTATCTACTACTTCCTACTTTCTCCCTGTCTGGAATATCTCCATTATCCTGAACTTGCCCTTTTCCAGAGTAGTTCTTTCCTCTCTTGTCAAAATATATTTAATTGAAGAATTCAGCTTCTCTGTGGGGAGTGGGTGCTGCTTCTTTTCCCTGAAGAACACCGTATTTCCCTGCAGATACCCCCTTCCTGGGGAAGGTGCCTCTGCCAGCCGGTTTCCTATTTCCTATTTCTGTTGGGAGGAGTATTTCCTTGTGGAGAATATGCTAATGTCATTGGCACTTCATGGCCCAGCAACCAGTTTTTCCTGTGGGATGTTCCACCTGAATAAATATAGACACAATATTAAGTCCTGCTGTGCAGTGGGTCAGAGAAACCTCCACGCTTGGCTAGGGACAGACAGTTCATCCTTGTTCCAGCATGGTGGGAAGGTTGGCCCCTCCACAGCTTCTCTGTCCCAGTTGCTGGGGCTGCTGCCCACCATGCCAGACATCAGGGCACCCCCACTGTCCCGTCTGCCTGTCTGTATCCCTGCCTAGCTGGAACTGCCATGCCAACCTACAAGCACTTGTTTCCTACCCAGGGTTTGTCACTTGACTGGCATTCTGTTTTGAGCCAACAACTTTGCTCTGGTTTGGAGTCTCCATCAGCCCATGTCCTTGTCAGGAGGAACTATAACTTCATCCATCGTGTGGGAAGCATCATTTTCCTGCTGCACTTTCCCTGCTAGGGACCTCCAGTCCAGACCAGCTCCTCCTTTTCAAACTGGTTTCAGTGAGCTCCCTTATTTGACTCTATTATCAGCGTCTCGCTGTGGAGACCCTGATGACCTCCTGCTTCCCTACCCCCTTTCAGCTGACCAAGTAATACTCTGCCAGCAGAGGAGCATTTCCATTTCTCTGAGATTATCTAATCTGCTGCCATTTCATCATGAATTTCTTTTATCATTGTATGAGCTAGATGGGCATTTTTCTTTCTTTTTTCTTTTTTTTTTTTTTTGAAATTCATTTCCTTTCGCTGACAAACCATCAAATGGATCACAGGGAGCTGCCTTTTGCTAGACTATGTCAGATTTCTGCTTTTTCCTTTGTAAACAGATTAGCCAGTCATGTGGTGTACCTTCCTACTCAGAAAGGCAGGGAGCTGGGAAAGGCTTGAGTTTCTCTGTCGCTCTCTATCTCAGATTCAGCTGCCGTCATTTTGCTGAAACGTACAAACCTCGATTGTCTGTAACCTCTCGGTCTGGTTCCCCTCTCCTTTTTGTGGGTGGGGACAAAGGCGTGACCTCCGAGGTCTGTTCATTACCATGAGAATTCATGGACGCCTCCACTCCTAGAGTCGATTTGTGTTCCCTGTGCCGTTTGGATTAATCAAAGTTGCGCGGCATTTGGGAACGCCGGCTCTGCTGCCTTTGATGTGATGGAAAGGACAGGGGCACTTAGGCCTAGATGGGGGCGATGGGGCTATCGAGGGGGGCTGTGCAGCCGGGGGTTGTACCTATTCTGGTTTTTTGAGGGAGGGGAGGGCTGAATGCATGTGAGGCCCGACCGGTGGTGGGGATTCAGGGCGGCCAGTAGCAGCAGATGGGAAAAGTCTTGTAACATTTAATGCTTCTTTGGCTGTTTCTAAACTAGGTGTCAATTCACAACAGGCTTCAAACGTACCAGCACAACTCCGCCCTGGGGCCCGAGAGTGGAATGCAGCCCAGCATGCGTCTTAACATGCCACGGGAGCGGCTGGAGACAGCACTGGTGCCCGCGCACCCCGCCTCGGCGGGGACACTTGTACAGTGCCAGCAGATTGTCAAAGTCATTGTCTTGGACAAGCCGTGCCTCGCTCGGATGGAGCCGGCCCTCAACCAGACTCTGACACGCTATGTCACCTCCGACTCCTGCACCTCCACCCCCTGGCGCGGTATGGGCAGCGGGCTCCCTGGGACCCCCATGAAGCTGGTCCATCAGCCTCCCCTGCCCCCTCCACCGCCTCCCTACAACCACCCCCACCAGTATTGCCCCCCCAGCTCCCTGCTTCAGAGGCGCAGGTACTCCAGTGGCTCACGTAGCCTCGTGTAGCCACACCACCAGCACCAAAACAGCACAGACTACCCCGCTTCCCCTCCCCACCGCCTCCCAGGGACCCTTTCTGCCTACAGAGATCTAGTTTGTGATGTATTTTTCAGTAAAAGAAGAAAAAAAGAAAAAAAAAANGGAAGAACTTAACTACTTACAATGCTTATGGAACAGGGTGTATGATACAGTGGCCTGGAATAGTGAAGCTTAGACTGTCATACTCAGAAGACTCTCCTTTGACTATGTAAATATGATTTGTAGATAACTGGGACAGGTCTGGTACCCCTTCACTTCAGGAATGTCTAGTGGGCAAGCAGTCTATGTCACTCCATGGCCTGTCTTATACAGATGAGATGTCCATGTAGCCTTTAAAGGCTCTTCTGTGCATAAACTTATGAGCCAAAGCAGCTCAACATCAGTGGTCCCCTCCTGTGCAACACTAACCTATTCTGTATAAATGCAGGTCATACATAGAAGGTCGTGTGGAGATACATAATTCCTCCCCATGTCAAGTCCTCTCCAGTTTCTGTTTTTCTCTTGCCTGTTCCTCTCTCCCTTCTTGACACTCTCTTGTGATTTTCTTGCATTACTTCTCCTTTTGCTCCTTCAATATGCTGGTGTCCTTCCCTCTATCCCTCTCCTCACTGATTTCCACATGTCTGCCTTTTAGGGGAACTGGAGAAACAGCAAGGGACAAAGACTCTCTCATTAAGGACCAATGGAGCCCAGATGGAATTGCAGTCTAAGCAAGGCTCTCCAACAGGTAAGCGGACACCCAACTTTTCTTGGTCAAGCAGTGCTGCCTTTGCAAGTGTGTTATCATTGGTTCCTGTGAGCATAACTGCAAAAAGAAGCATTCAGTTTTGTATCCTTTAGCCTTGGGCAAATAGTGGAAATATGAGAGCATATGGATTCTTCAAATATCCTAGCAAAAGCGCTGAAGTCTCATTACCCAGTCTGTAGCTGTAACATCTAGTAAAGAGGTGTTACTGATGGAGCATGGGTGACTTCTGAATTCTTCCCTGAACTGGTGAAACACAGTCTCAGTACAATTAACTTCCTCCAGCATCTTCACTAACACTTTGTATCAAAGGCTTTGTGTCTGTCCGTGCCTAGGCTTGTATGCCAGCAAACATCAAGTGCAGAGGTGAGTTGCTACCAACTCACTAGAATGGCACTGAGATCAGGACCTAAGGACAGGACCCCAAAGAGGTCTCCTCTTACCCCACTAAGCAACTATCAGGTTGCAAGAGGGTCTGGATTTGTTCTTGTTTGGCCCTGCACCTCTCCCTTTAACTTTCCAGTCCACTCCAGTATGAGGGCCAGCTCTTGACTAGAGGCACAGACCTCATGAGTGAGATATTTTGTTTTATTTCAAAGGCAAGAAGGATTTGGGGGAGAAGGTCTCGGACAGCACAGTGGAGGTAAGTAGAGTGCAGAGTAGCTGAGGTAAGTAATTCCCTCTCACTTCAGCTCTTCTCACATTCTCTGTTGTTTCTTTTCTCAGGTTTTAATCAATGCCTCCCCAGCCAGACTGACAATTTTACCAATTTCCAGAGATACAATTAAAAGTTACTGCTAGGACGGGTAATACAACTTTCAAATCCAAACTAAACTTCAAAGCATTTTCAATCCGTTTTTATAACTGTAACATCCTTCATGGACCAAGCTCCCAAACGCTGTAGACTAACCCACCCCACTGCTTATGGGGAGACTGAGAACCCCACTATAGACTTCCCTGACATGCTAACTCCATGCAGCATCACATGCAAATTCCCTGCAGCCCAGCTTTCCTGCACAGTCTCTGCAGCTCTGTCTCTCCATCCCCCCTTGGATGGGATTAAGCATGGCCTTTGTATATCAGACTTTCCCTAGAGCTTTACCTCCCTAGGTAGGGAGCTTGGCTGTACTCTGTACATCTATCTTTGCAGGGATGTAACATCCAGTGGGTTGCCTGTTTCTTCACAGACACCCATACTCCCACTGCCTGTGAGGAAACAGGAAAATGCAATCTTCCCACTGAAAATCTTATCTACTACTTCCTACTTTCTCCCTGTCTGGAATATCTCCATTATCCTGAACTTGCCCTTTTCCAGAGTAGTTCTTTCCTCTCTTGTCAAAATATATTTAATTGAAGAATTCAGCTTCTCTGTGGGGAGTGGGTGCTGCTTCTTTTCCCTGAAGAACACCGTATTTCCCTGCAGATACCCCCTTCCTGGGGAAGGTGCCTCTGCCAGCCGGTTTCCTATTTCCTATTTCTGTTGGGAGGAGTATTTCCTTGTGGAGAATATGCTAATGTCATTGGCACTTCATGGCCCAGCAACCAGTTTTTCCTGTGGGATGTTCCACCTGAATAAATATAGACACAATATTAAGTCCTGCTGTGCAGTGGGTCAGAGAAACCTCCACGCTTGGCTAGGGACAGACAGTTCATCCTTGTTCCAGCATGGTGGGAAGGTTGGCCCCTCCACAGCTTCTCTGTCCCAGTTGCTGGGGCTGCTGCCCACCATGCCAGACATCAGGGCACCCCCACTGTCCCGTCTGCCTGTCTGTATCCCTGCCTAGCTGGAACTGCCATGCCAACCTACAAGCACTTGTTTCCTACCCAGGGTTTGTCACTTGACTGGCATTCTGTTTTGAGCCAACAACTTTGCTCTGGTTTGGAGTCTCCATCAGCCCATGTCCTTGTCAGGAGGAACTATAACTTCATCCATCGTGTGGGAAGCATCATTTTCCTGCTGCACTTTCCCTGCTAGGGACCTCCAGTCCAGACCAGCTCCTCCTTTTCAAACTGGTTTCAGTGAGCTCCCTTATTTGACTCTATTATCAGCGTCTCGCTGTGGAGACCCTGATGACCTCCTGCTTCCCTACCCCCTTTCAGCTGACCAAGTAATACTCTGCCAGCAGAGGAGCATTTCCATTTCTCTGAGATTATCTAATCTGCTGCCATTTCATCATGAATTTCTTTTATCATTGTATGAGCTAGATGGGCATTTTTCTTTCTTTTTTCTTTTTTTTTTTTTTTGAAATTCATTTCCTTTCGCTGACAAACCATCAAATGGATCACAGGGAGCTGCCTTTTGCTAGACTATGTCAGATTTCTGCTTTTTCCTTTGTAAACAGATTAGCCAGTCATGTGGTGTACCTTCCTACTCAGAAAGGCAGGGAGCTGGGAAAGGCTTGAGTTTCTCTGTCGCTCTCTATCTCAGATTCAGCTGCCGTCATTTTGCTGAAACGTACAAACCTCGATTGTCTGTAACCTCTCGGTCTGGTTCCCCTCTCCTTTTTGTGGGTGGGGACAAAGGCGTGACCTCCGAGGTCTGTTCATTACCATGAGAATTCATGGACGCCTCCACTCCTAGAGTCGATTTGTGTTCCCTGTGCCGTTTGGATTAATCAAAGTTGCGCGGCATTTGGGAACGCCGGCTCTGCTGCCTTTGATGTGATGGAAAGGACAGGGGCACTTAGGCCTAGATGGGGGCGATGGGGCTATCGAGGGGGGCTGTGCAGCCGGGGGTTGTACCTATTCTGGTTTTTTGAGGGAGGGGAGGGCTGAATGCATGTGAGGCCCGACCGGTGGTGGGGATTCAGGGCGGCCAGTAGCAGCAGATGGGAAAAGTCTTGTAACATTTAATGCTTCTTTGGCTGTTTCTAAACTAGGTGTCAATTCACAACAGGCTTCAAACGTACCAGCACAACTCCGCCCTGGGGCCCGAGAGTGGAATGCAGCCCAGCATGCGTCTTAACATGCCACGGGAGCGGCTGGAGACAGCACTGGTGCCCGCGCACCCCGCCTCGGCGGGGACACTTGTACAGTGCCAGCAGATTGTCAAAGTCATTGTCTTGGACAAGCCGTGCCTCGCTCGGATGGAGCCGGCCCTCAACCAGACTCTGACACGCTATGTCACCTCCGACTCCTGCACCTCCACCCCCTGGCGCGGTATGGGCAGCGGGCTCCCTGGGACCCCCATGAAGCTGGTCCATCAGCCTCCCCTGCCCCCTCCACCGCCTCCCTACAACCACCCCCACCAGTATTGCCCCCCCAGCTCCCTGCTTCAGAGGCGCAGGTACTCCAGTGGCTCACGTAGCCTCGTGTAGCCACACCACCAGCACCAAAACAGCACAGACTACCCCGCTTCCCCTCCCCACCGCCTCCCAGGGACCCTTTCTGCCTACAGAGATCTAGTTTGTGATGTATTTTTCAGTAAAAGAAGAAAAAAAGAAAAAAAAAAAGCCAACTGACCTAACTCTTACCCTGTCTCCCCTCAAGATGATGCTAATTGTGAGGAGCCATCTGTAGAACCTGCCAACCTACATGCTCACACATCCTCACACCCCGCCGGCCTGGCTGGCCTCTGTGCTTGTGCCGTCCCCATGTAGCACTTTGCTGCCCTGTTCCTGAGAGGCTTGATGACCTGCTGCTTTCTAGGCACTGTGTCTTCCGTTTCCTACTCCTCGACTTCCTTTCCTGCCTTGCATTTACCTGGCCATAGATTTGTACCCATCCTAAAATTTTGCCAGCCTTGGAGAGAAATGGACTCACCCGTGCCAAGGACCAACCTTGGGGCACTCCCAGGGATGGAGTTCTCCCTGCCACCACTGCTGCCGCCTGCAAAGCTGGAGCTGAGAACTTGTACCACTTGCCATGCTTTCTCCTCATCACCCTTCAAGTACTATATCCTTGCAGCAGCCGGCTCCAAGCGAAGGAGTGCACGAGGGAAAGAGAGTTTGAGAGGAGGAGAGACCGCCCTGAGCTGCAGTACAACACAAAGATGGCCTCACTGAACACCAAAACTATTTCTGTTGTTATGTTGGATCATTGTACCAGAGACCTCTGCTGAGACCTAGCAGACCTCACCACATGTAAATACACCTGTATGGTAGCGTATGTATGGCGCATGCTTACTAAAGGAAACACCAAGCAGTTCTGAGGGAGCAGAAGGGAGGGATTCAGTCCAGGGATCTTCCTGGAATGGATGTGTACTTTTCCAAAGAGCTGGCACCACGAGGTGCCCTCCCACCTCAACACACACACACACACACACACACACACACACATATGATTATCTTCTCTAAAACAGACCCACCTCTGCTTTCCTCCTTCTAGCTGATTTTGTGTTTCCTGCCCACCTGCATTTTTATATTCTGAAAGCAAAGCCAAGTGTTACATTCACCTTCTGGGGTGGATGTTCTTCCCTTCACTTGGGCTCTTCCACCTGTGTTAGAGGGAAGGGGCTTTTTGCAGACCACTCATGTGAGGTTCTATCTGTATCTCTTGCCTGGCTGTACTCTTGCATCCATCAGCCCTTCCTATAGGAAAGCTGCCCAGATACCAAACTCCAAGGCCTCTTCTCTTCTCTCCCTCTCTGTCCCAGCTTCAAAGTGAGGGGAGGGGCAGATCTCGAGATAGAGATGACAGCTCAGCTCCTCTGCTTTATCAGGGACATTGATGTGAAGGAAGACGGCATTAAAAATGGGCTATGGATGTATTTTTAGAAAAAAAAAATCTCTTTGAGCAGTAGGGAGGGGAAGGTATTAATTAGCTTAAAGGCTTTGCTCTCGCTCACTCATTCTATCTCCCTTCGAGGCTTAAGAAGATCAACTTTAGGATTTTAAAATAGGACAGAATGCCTTTTAGGGTCTTTATTTTTATTTTATTTTATGAAGGAAAGACAGAAATGCTCTTCCTTCCCATGCAAGGCTGAGACATGAGCACTGGGTGCTGATGATGCAACAGTTGGGTGAGGAATAGCAGGAGTTGTCAGCAGTGGTGGGGATGTGCAAAGTATCAGGGAAAGAGGGACGGCGAAGGCAGATGCAGGAAATTCTTTTTTACCTTGTGGGGTAAAAGCCACATGGAAATTTCCTTAGGGATTGTGCCAGAATGCTCATATTTGGGGTTATTGCCAGTGACAAAAACCACAGTGCATCAGGGACTGGCTTGGCTCCCCTCGGTGCTCTCTGGATGCCTGTGTGGTGGTGCTGCCTGTGCTGAAATGTTCACATGTGTGACCTGGGCTTAAGCCCATCTGGGGTTAGGGAAGTGGACAGGGGCTGGAGTGAAGGGTCTCCTGTGCTTGGCCAGCCCTCCAGGGCAGGAGTCTGCTCACTTCCAGATCCCCTTATGTCTGAGGCGACTCCTGGACCCAGGTGTGCCAAGAGGTCTAGGTTGTTTGCTTGGCTGTCTGGAGCAGAGCACTAGGCTGCTGCTTTTATACCCAGTAACAAATGTACTGACCAGGAGCTGACAAGCAAGCATCAGGGAGGGCTGCAGAATCAGATGACAGAGAAGACTGTAAGAAAACTGAACAGAAGCCAAGTCTCCCTCCAGACCAGAGAAGGTTTCTTCTAGCCAGCCCCTCGGGGCAGTTTGGATGCTCCACATTGCAAAGCCAGACACAGGGAGAGGTCCTCACCCCCAGCCAGGGCTCTGCCCCTCACCCTCCAGCCAGCTGTGAGGCACAGCTGGTCTGATCTGCTGCTTACTCCCTCCAGGGTGACACCCTGACACCTCACTGCAGCCAGGATCTCATCGGAGATGCCTGTAGCTTCCTGAGAAAGATGTGTGGCTTCTGCCATTGTCCAGCCAGTGTAAGTCAATGTGTGGCTGCTGGTTAATTTTTACTCACTGCTGCAACAGAAACGGTGGCATCCAGGAGGCAGTGGCACTGCCCTCCCTTCCCAGCAGTTACTTTGCTGTCTGAGAGGAATGGCAGTACTTGTTCAGTTTTTTTCCCAGAGTGCAGTGAGCCAACGAAGCTCTGTGTGTGTGTTAAAATAAATAAATTAGATTTTACTTGACATTTAACACAAAGTGACAACAGCAAAAAACCTTAAGGTACTTGAGGAAATAATTTTTTTTAGATAAAATATTTATAACAATGTCTGTGAAGTTCCTACAAGAGATGTTTGCTGCTTTAATAATTGATTGGGAAAGCTACAAGAATTTAAAGAAGAAATAAGGAAGCTTCCATGAGACTCCCTTCTTCATGCTGGATGAAGGGTGGAAGCGAGTTAACTGAAGTGCCGAGGTACCTGAGGCACAGTATTCTCTCAGGGCAAGTTGGCTCCGTTTCCCTGACCTTACAAAGGCTACTGCTGGCCTTAAGCCTTGGATAGAGAAGCAAATGGAGATAACCCTTGCTGTCTTCTAGCCTGCTGGCTACCACATCTTCTGTTGTGTTTGGCTGGAGAGACACAAAACTACTCTATTCCGGGTTGTCATGGAGCAGGTTGATCTAAATTCTACTGTGTAGCTGAGCCCTTCGGACTTCACTTCAAAATACAGATTTTTTTTTTTTTTCCTTTGGAGGTTGGTCTCGAAGGATGACAAGCACTTTAAAACATATCTGCACCTCATCTGATCTATTGTATTGTCTGCTCCCACAGCCCTCCCACACGCCAGCGAGACACAGACTCAGTGTAGCTGTACTGCTGTGAGTAGACACCCTTGCACACAGACTGATGGAGTGCAGGCTGGAAGGAGCGTGTCAGTGACAACCTAATGAAGGACAAAATGTGTAACACAGCTCACCCAGAGGGATCAGCCCGAAGAAAAATCACCAGCTATTGACAGCAGTGATTCTGATCATGAACCTAGCACAATCTTTCAGGTGGAAGGGTCAGGCAGGAAGCTGCTGCAGAGATTAGCTCAACCCAAATGAATGTCTTTTTGCTGCCAAATTCATGTCCTTTTATATTAAAAAAGGAGACAGGGAGGAGAGAGAAAAGAAAAACCCAGTGAAAGGTACTCTGCAGTGACTGTTGGATAGTCAGTGGCCAAATGAGAAGGTGGCTTTGCTGGACAGTAGGAGAGAGCAAGATGTTACTGAGGTTTGCAGAGCTGTGTTACACAATCTGTCAGGCTCCGTCCTGATGCTTTCTCATGCTGGTGCAGGCCCAGTGAAAATCATCTGTTTGCACCAGTAGCAAAGAGATGGAAAAACGCAACAGGAGAATCAAGCTTTGCAAACAATTTGGGTTTAATGCAGTGTTTGTCGTCTGCTGTGGTACTTTTTTACACCATAGTCTGGCCCACTGGGGTAGCAACACTTAGTGCTTTCACAAGGCTTTCAAAGCATCCCACTGTTCATGTTTTCTCTCTTTCCTGTAGATAAAAGGCGTGAGTATGGTCCACAACCAGAATTTTGTCAATACTCATACTTCCTCACAAAAGGTACCACCAGATTTGGAGGTATTTGAGGGCCTCTGAGCTGTAAGGGTTTGAGTTTTGTTACGTTTTTCAGGAGGCTCAACCTGCAACTATCTGCACGTGTTTGTGAGGTTTCCAAAACAAATCTGAGCCCCAAATCAAGGATGCTGCTGCTTGGCAGAGTCTCTGCTTTGAAATGCAAGTTGCTGAGCAAGCTCCCCCATCTCCCACTCCACCAGCTGCCTCACTGTGCTAGTGCAGGCTCCAGGGATTGCCGGCAGTGTTTTGTGAGCTAGAGCTGTCCTTGTTCTGCCCTCTCTTTTGCAGCCATGCCTTGGACAGCAGCTTTGAAGTCACCCAGCTCTTCCAACACTAGTCACCGCCCCATCTGAATGTGTCTTTTTAAAATCTAACAACAGAAGTGTTACCTGTGCGTAGGCTTTTGAAAGCACCTGTCTGTCTGTACCTGTCTCCTGCTGTAAATACCACCAAGAAAAGCTTCCTTTGGGAAAAGTGGTGTGGTCACACCTAGCAAAGAGTCCAAATGGCTAACATTTTGTAACAAAACAACAAAAATAGATCAGAGGTATTTTATCTGTTCAACTAATAGAGTTTTAGAAATTATATTGAGATATGTCACTTGTGCGCTAATGTCTTCTTTGCCTCAGCCCCCCTCCGGTGTTCCTGGGCTCCAGCAGCGTGCACCGGGGCACGGCCACACACACCAAGGGTGTGCTCCCATGGAGTGCTGGACATCCTGGCCTCCTGCTGGCCTCGGGGGCAGCCTGCTGCGGCTACTGCTGATTTTTCATCGAAAGCAGCAGGAGCCAGCTCAGTGCTCAGACCCTCTGAGGATCAGATCCAGAGGAAACCAGGAAGAAATAAACTTGTTCAAGAGACAGCAACTTAATGTGAAATTCACCCCTGCAGTGAGGCAGAGAGGAAAACAGTGGTGGGGGGAGGGAGGCAGAGTCCTCCTGTGCCACAGCTCCTTCCTTCCCATCTTGCTGGATGCTCATGGCTGTGCACTCTGCACCTCTGGGGAAGGAGGCCCACACACCCTTGCAGGGCTCACGCTGCTGTGGCAGGAGAGCAGCTTCACATGTGCCAGCTGGCCACACAGCAACCTGTGCACCCAGAGACAGCAGCACATACTGTGTGTTAATGCACACACCATCTGCCAACACGTAGGACTCTACGGCAGATAACGTGTAGGCATCTCTGCTGTCCACGGAGCAGAGTCTGCTGTGCAAAAATTTGGGGCATGTGCAGCCATGTACTGCCTGAGCAGGACAGCTGTGCTGGCTGCAGTTACCATCGCAGCACATCTCACAGGCTACGTAGGCTCAGGCTTGGTTAACATTTGGATGGGAGACACGTAAGGAAAATGACATTTCCCATGCAAATCCGAGTGACGTGCATATTTACACAAAGCATAACCCCAAGGTTAATGAAACTGACCTTTGAGGGAGAATCAAACACGTGCACCCAAAGCAAGCTCTCCTCTGCGATGGGTGGGGGAAGGCAAGATACATCTTTGCAGCTGAGTCGAATAGATGCTGGATTCAGATTGCTCCTGCTAAAAAAACTCTTGTCTGTAGGTTGCAAATTCTTTGCTGGCTTCGAAGAATCCCTTAGATCCCCCGGCCCACCGTGAAACACTTGGGAGGACAGGGAATTTCCCAGGGATTCAGAGGCTTCCATTTATGTTTTCATGTGCCACGGATATATTATAAATCAGCCCACTCCAAACAGTCATTTTCTAAGATGTTTTGAAACAGAAGATTATTGAAGTTTCTGCCTGATGTTTAGATCACACACCTGGCTGTAAAGATGAAAGCAATAAAACCAGATTGTCTATATGTGAAATACTCCTAACTTGCTCCAATGTGCAGATACTATTATTAATTGGAAGATGGCAAGTCTCTTTGGGGTGGATTCTTTGTAGACACATACAGGTAGTGCTGGTACAAAGGATTATAACCCAAAAAGCATATACCACCACTGTCACGTTGCATTTGTAACCTGTTATATCTATACAGCATCCATTATGGGCAATAACTTATACACGGTGTGGTTGGAGTTGATCAAAATACATCGCTCTTTTCCACAGAGAATTTTGAGATGCAGTTTTTCTCTGGAACTTTTCAGATGGACTTTAAGTTAAGCACATCCCTCAAATGCTTTGCTGTAACTGGTTTCTACCCATCTCCTAAATGCAGACTTGCTACTGAATTCAGCACTTCACAGCCTGCTGCCTCCTGCTTTGAAGGTGCTGCCCCTTGGGTCAGATGCCCCAAAGCCAATGTGAAGAGTGGAGTCCTCCTGGATCAGTGGAAGGTCACCACAAACCCAAAGCTGCCATGTGCCTGCAGGGTCACTGTTGTGTGCAGGTTGCAATCGGTCCCCTTCCACTTCATCTGGGGTACTCTGGAAATATTGTGCTGTGCCTCTGGGGTGCCTTGGCACAGCTGATCACAGAGTCAGGCTCCACCATTCCCCACAGATTCAGGTTTCCTGTCATCACTAGTTGCTGGGGAAGAGGTACCCCTCTGTAAAATCACTGCCCTGATCCTGAATACAACAACCTAGAGCCATGAACATACACCTGCCTGACCTAGGAAAGGTGTCTGGAAATAAGCAGTTGCCTCAAGGATGATGATGCGTGGTTAGAAGCACTGTGGAATTTAACCAGCTTAGGAGCTCTGTCACACTTGGTAGGTCTCGAAGCAACTTTCTTGCAGCTAATGAGTGCATGCAACTGAGGTTAAAAGCTGGCTGAGGAGCTGTGTTTTCTGTCTTAAGCCATAAAATCCACAGGCTGGGAATGTTTTCAGGCATGTAGGGCAAGATCTTACTTTACACAGCACCCATGCTCCAGCCTTGGGTTCTGATGGTGTGGCACAGTCATCGGTTACTTTTTTGAATACAAGAGTCCTGTCTTTCTAATCCTTCCTCCTCGTGAAGGGTAGGGTGTTCCAAACAATACTGAGTTCATAAAAAAACCCAGAACACAGGGAGTGGAAGAGGAGACGGAAATATCTTCTTCCACAGGACTGTAGGACTAAGATTGTAGCAGTTAAAACACTTTACGTGATATATGCCCATCCCAACATTCCATGTGGAATACCTTATTCCATAGGAATACCTTCCTATTCCCTCCCGTTATGAAAGGCCTGACTTTTCAGTGAATTTCAGCTCTTTATCTTGTGGATTAATCCCAGCCAGCAACTAAATACCTCGCAGCTGCTCACTCTCTTCCCCCACCCCAGTGGAAAGGGGATGAGATCAGAAAAAGGTAAAACTTGTGAGTTGAGATAAAAACAGTTTTGAAATAATTGAAATGAAGTAAGATAATAATAAGACAAAAGTGAGAGAGAGGAATAAACCTCAAGACTGACAAGTGATGCACAGTGCAATTGCTCACCACCCCCTTACCGATGCCCAACCTGTCCCCCAGCAGTGATCAGCAACCCCCAGCCAAACTCCCTCCAGTTTATATATTGAGTTTGATGTTCTGTGGTATGGAATATAAATTTGGCCAGTTCAGATCAGCTGTCCTGGCCATGCTTCCTCCCAGCCTCTTGTGCCTCTCCTCACCGGTAGAGCAGGGGACACTGAAAAGTCCTTGATTTAGGGTGAACGCTACTCAGCAACAACTAAAACATCAGTGTGTTATCAACATTATTCTCATCCTAAATCCAAAACACAGCGCTGTGCCAGCTACTAGGAAGAAAATGAACTCCATCCCAGCCAAAACCAGGACATATGTCAAATGTTCAGAAGCCTCATGCTGACTAGCTGATCAAACAGGACCCACACAGTGCCAGCAACAGGAGAAATTGCCCCTCTCCTGCACTTGCTCAGCTGCACATGCAGGATTCCCCTGAGCTGGTGGCCCCTCTTTGCTACTTTCATGAATTTCCTAATACTAAATTAGCGACAATGGGACAAGTCTCCTCCCACACCCTGCTGCAAACTGGTGTCCACCCACAGGGCACTAAAGCCACCCGTGTCCTCAAATTGCCACCGTGCGCTGTTTGCACAGCTGGATGGGACAGAGCTGGGTCAGTCCAGGGCTATACATGCTGAAAGCTGACAGCTTTGCAGGTCTCCTTGATGGCAGCAGCCGTGGGTACCCTGATGCTCCTCTGTATGAGGCACTGGTATGGTCAGGGGATGCTCCCTGCTCCCACAGCCATCGTCTCTGGAACAGCCCCGCCGCAGCTGCTTCGGCACCATCCTGCCTCCCACCACTGCCTGTGACAGGGAAAGTGCTTCCCCTCTCCTCCCCTCACCACTTTTTTGAAACAGGCTATTAACTATACCGAATAAAAAACCTGGAGCAAAGTATTTTCATAAAAAACCCCCCGGAGCACTGTGTTCAGCTCTGGGGTCCCCAACACAAGAAGGACGTGGACCTGCTGGACCGAGTCCAGGGAAGGCCACAAAGATCATCAGAGGACTGGAGCACCTTTGCTGTGAGGAAAGGCTGACTGAGTTGGGATTGTTCAGCCTGGGGAAGAGAAGGTTGCAGGGAGTCCTTATAGCACATTCCAGTACCTAAAGGGGCTACAGGACAGACGGAGACTAACAGGACAAGGGGTGATGGCTTTAAATGGAAAGAGAGCAGGTTTAGATTAGATATTATGAAGAAATTCTATACTGTGAGGGTGGTGAGACACTGGAAGAGATTGCTCAGAGAAGCTGTGGATACTCCATCCCTGTGTTCAAGCATTCAAGGCAAGGTTGGATGGGGCTCTGAACAACCTGGTCTAGTGGAAGGTGTCCCTGCCCATGGCAGGGGAGTTGGAACTAGGTGATATTTAAAGTTCCTTGCAGCCCAAACTGTTCTATGATTCTGGGATCCTATGTTTTGGGCAGCATAGGAGAAGGAGAACAACACAAATCCACATATTCTGAGCAGACATCTCTGTGCTGGTACCAGCTAGGCCAGAAACAGCTAAGCCTGGTGCAGACAGGCAAGGCACAGTATGGATAGCTGCTAGCTGGGCTTTGACAACAGCTAGTCGGACATCAGTCCTTCTGGGATGTTAGGAGCAGGGCCTTTTCCCCACCATTACAGGCAGCCCTTTCAGGAACAGGAGTGATCCGGGACAGGTGATGTTACAAATGCTCTAGCTCCCCAAGTGAAAGGCAAGAGAAGTCACCAAAGCTGTCTTGAGCTTCCCAGGAAGGGGGAAATAAAGGTAGGGAAAACAAAGCAGCAAACGGTGCCACAGCTCTGCCACATGGGGACCCCAGATCTGTGCTAACCCTCTCACCAGGGCAGGTGTCACCCAACAGCCTGATGCTGTATCCAGGTCCTCAGGCCACTTGGCTTTGAAAACTCTTTAGAGAAACCAGGCACAGAGCAAGCTTGCAAAAGCCAGGGAAATTAGTCACTGAAGTGAGCCCAACTGAAGCAGGACCTGGTGCTGGTGTCTCCGCTGAGGCGTTGTCACAAAGCAGCTGGTGCCCAAAGCCACCTCCTGTTTCCCTCATGCAAAGGGAAGCTTTCCCTTTCCTTCTGGAGCAGTTCCAGAAGGGTTTGAGTCCTTGTACACCCCCTTTAGAATCAGGGAGACAGTAAGTTGGGGAAATGTCAGCTTTAGCTTCTAAAAAACACCTGCTGCGTC